AGAATGAGAAAAGATAGGACACAAGAGAACAACGCTGGGCTCCAGAGACCTCCCTGGCATTGCTAATGCATGCCCTACTTAAATGCTTAACATGAATAATGTTGTGCCCCCTCTCCCCTCCTCTCTTCATGTAACAATACCATGTCTGTTTAGGCTGGAATTCAGCATCCAGTGTTTCATATCTCCTGTAAATCCTGCAGCACCTCCCCAAGAATATCTTGCCTCCTTTTCCCAGGGAGCTTCTCCCAACAATGAGATGTTGTTGGGAGTCAGACATGCCATTCCCAAACAACAAGAAAAGGCTTTTTCTATGTGGGCATGATGGATAGTCAAACCTCATGCAGGGATGCAGTCCTGGCTGTGGAGGGGAGGGAGGAGAGGGTGAGAAGAGACAGCAGAGGGCTTACCCAGGGCTTTGAGAAGTTCATCAAATTTCTCACTCTTCTTCATCTTCCAGGTGCCGGCAAAGTTAGACATGTCTGCGGAGGCTGAGTGCGAGGGCTGCAGAAGGAACCTGTTCCACGCTCTGTCGTCTCCCTCTCTTTCTTCTCTCCTCTCTTTCTCTCTTTGACTCTTTCTCACCCTCCTCCTCCTTCCCTATGTGCTCCTGTCTCCTCTGCTCTGGGCTCAGCCTCTCGTTCACACTGTTACACCCGAGCGTCTCACTGGGTCTGCTTTTACTTATTTATTCACACAGACGCTCACACACACTCCACCTCCTTCTTGGTCCGTGTGTCTCACAGTGCTGGCTTCAGTCTTGTCTTCAGCTCCTTTATAGCTACTGTGTTTGATGGGAGACAGAGGAGGTCCCTCCCCCTGAAAAGCTTTGTCCCGTTAATACAGTAGAGCAGAACTGACGTAGCCTGCTCGCTCTGGGAATCAAAACGGCTGATTTCATTCTTTCAGTGAATTTATGGAGCTTCCATTTGTCAACTACTTGATAATAATAATTATTTGAATAGTGGTTATTGATTGGAGGTTGGCAAAAGGATGATAAATAGGATGCTGCATTTTTGAAAAGCAAAACATTGTTCCTTTGTTTAGTATTTCAGAAACAAAAGTTTGTTAAACTTTAAAACTGTTGAATGTGTATGTATATTATATCCTATGATATAAGGTAAGAAGATGTCCTGTTCTGTTGTTTCTTTGTTTTGTTCTCTATCTTCTGTTGACTAAATAAGGGCGAGATATTAAGTTGCAGTAAGCAAATCTTCAACCATTACCGTGGGTCACAGCAATGGTTTATAACAGTAATGATCCATTTAGCAATGACATTAATGGAAATGTATACTTTTTATGTACCCTTTTATAATATATTCTATGTACTATTATGTGAAGTGTTTTAATTTCCCTCTGGTCTTACAGTCTAACAACTACATGCAAAGTGTGTGTGTTACTTCTGTTTGTTCTGTACTGTTGACTAAATAAGATATGTCAGTCAAACTCTGAACATTAGCCTCAAACCAAAGCTGAGCCACAAACATGAATCAAAGAGATGGTTTATTGAACTTATAATGAATCATCTACATGTCTCCTTGTTCATATCCCTCCGGGCTTTTTCAGCAACTTGTTTACTCATTATAATCACATCAAGTTGTATTCATTATGTATGAGTTTGCATTTTTAAGTAATGTAGGAAACACTGTAACCATTTGGAGTTCTATTATCAACAGTTAGAAACCCACAGTTGAGGTGCCCTTGAGCAAGTTTTTAAACCCAACCTGCTGAACTGCTTGTACAAATCTGATTTATAAATTATGTATCATGAAACTGTGACAAAGGGAAACTGAGCTTTGTTTTTATCAAATTATTATTACTTTTATTATTATTAAATTTATGGAGTGGGGAGAAACCGTTCCACCGCATTATTCATATTTTCTTTAAAGGTCCAGTGTGTAAGTTTTAGGTGAAAGGGATTTATTGGTAGAAATTGAACGTAGAATAATCCTCATGATGTTTTCACTAGTTCGTTTCATCTAAATTGTATGAATTATAGTTTTGTTTACCCCAGAAAAGGTCCTTTATATTTCAGTACTTAATATTTACATTGAGGAGACCCTCTCTACTGAGGCCACCATGTTTTTTTACATTAGTCCAGACTGGACAAATTAAACACTTTTTGACTTTATGACAACTGAGGAATACCACAGGTTATTTTTCATGTTTGGAAGGAGAGGGTGAGGTGAGGGGTGTTCAGCTGAAATATGCAACTTCAACACTAGATATCACAAAATTCTACACACTGTACCTTTAAAACCTTCCCCACATATTCAAAAACCTAAACCTTACCACAGCATCTTAAACAATATATAAATACAGCAAACATAGTGAAAATACAGGCCCTGAGTGACCCAGGCTTTACCACCCGAGGAATGAAACCGCAAGAATAGATTCAACTCTGAGCCATTAGTTTTCATGATACACCCACACATAATTAATTATCCATTATTAATGTAGGCGTATATTTAAGTCAGTGGTACTGACCAACAACATATACTTAGTTTTTGAACAAATAATGGTCCCTATTTTAATTATTACGTTACATTACCAGACTTGATTATTGTAATTTCTTATTATCAGACTCTACCAGAGAGTCATTAAAAACTCTGCAGCTTGTCCAAGATGCTGCAGCACGTGTCCTGACAGGAACCAGGAACATTTCTTCTGTGTTAGTTTCACCACTAGTTTCGGCTTCCTGTTAAATTTACATCAGAATTTAAAATTCTCCTCACAAGGCTCTTAATAATATGGCACCATCATACCTTAAAGAGCTTATAGTATCATATCACCCCACTAGAGCACTCCCAGAATTCAGGCTCCTAAAGTCTTTAAAAGTGGCATCAGACCTGGAGCCTCAGCTATCAAGCTCCCCTCCTGTGGAATCATCGCCCAGTTTCAGTTCAGGAGGCAGACGCCCACTCTGTTTAAATGCTTAAATCCTTTATCATAAAGCTTGTAGTAAGATCTGGTTCAGGTCTGTCAATAACTCCTCCATTTCATGTCATTGCTGCTCCCTTCATCTCTATTTCTCATGTTTAAATACTTAAAACATTGACACATACTGGAAAAGTGTGTCAAACTGTTTATTCTAATCAATGAAAATGTTTATTTTGCTGATGTTCTCAGTTACACACGGTATCTGTTGAACTTCTGTCCATCCTGGGAGGGATCCCTCACATGTGTCTCTCAGTGTGTGAAGAAATTAGAAGCTTAGTGCTTGTAAAAATGGATTTTCATGACAGTCCACTGGCTCCTTGATGCAGCAGCCCACTGGGATTCAAAGTTCATTCATACAATTTAGATGATTACACACTATAGATAGATAGGAATAGGATAGGAATATTTCTGACAATGATCTTGCCCTCATCGTGCTGCAGCTAATGCTATAACATTAGGGTCATTACCCTCCATTATCATTTCCCTGAAAACACGAATGAATCACTTGGCTGAAAATAGCAGCATTAGTATAATTGCTGCCTGCAGGACCAACAGAAGAGAATGTACAATTGCCTAAAGAAAAAAAACCATAGATCCATAAAATAACATACTTGACATTGCTTGTATTGTGCTGCTTTTTTGCCCCCAATTCATATGTAAGTCATGTGTATGAATGAGTATGGGCTAATGAACACATTTCTTGAACCTAAAGTTAAAGACTCCCAATGTGATTAAATCACATCGCTGCTATCAATTTCTGACGAAAATGCTGTGTAGCTGCAAAGAAAAAAACATCTATCATTACATCTGCGTTTCTATTCGAATAGGTAGATATTGCTTGATGGTATATCTGTTTTACATTTTCTTGTTTGAAAATGTTTTGTAGAGCATGATAGTATATCTGCTTAAAACAACAATGAAATGTTTAATAGATCATTCAGGAAATGTTACACTATATGTTCAATACGTGGATAGAGAGTAAAATGTTGACACACTCATAACAAGCTCATCTCAGACTAAAGACTGAAACCAAAATTCCTCTAAATTGCTTCTTATAACCCACCTGTGTGGTTTGCATGTACTGTCAGCTACACTGGGTTAATATAAACAGAAATATTAACAGACATGAATAAAATCTTCAAATGGCTTCACAGCACACCCACATGTTAGGTTTTAAGTACTTATATCAATATTTGCTAAGTTGTATTAAACTGGAATTCACCTCCTAGATTCATGAAAGATTTTCTATTTTAACTTTGATTTTGTTCAACAAGAAACAAATTTATTGAATAATGTTCTATGGGGATTTTTGAAGCTTGGTGGTTTGATTTCCATGTTAATGACTTTTACAGCCAAAAAGAATAAATCTCTGGGTGACCTTCAGAGTTTTTGGAAAATCCATAATCATATCAAAGGGATTGTTTATCAACTTCAGCTTATATCAGAATCATTTGGGGTTTTTTAAGGAAATCAGAGCAGTTCAGCTGTCAAACTGTTTAAAATCAGTCACCTCTCATCTTCCTCACTCTTGGTTCTGAGTCGACCAGAGATTCATCACGCATGCCCATTTCAGCTTCATTTCAGGAGTAAGTTAAAGCACACCAGCTGTGTTTTCTTGACTGTTCTTGGAATGATACTCTTGAAACTGTGTGTAGACCTCAGACTGTTGTTGGTGTGAACCATTATTATTGTAGTCACAACAGACAGGGAGCTCCTGTAGAGCCACATATTTATCATGGTTTGGTGCTTTTTGCAACTTTAGAGACCATCAGTGTTTCATGCATCTGTTCTTCACACACAAGTTTGTATGTAAAAAATGTATAATTATATATTTAGATTTTAATTATTTGAACTTGAGTATAAGTGTAATATTTCCTAAAACAATTGGACAGATGTAATGGACTCATTAAGGCATTACTCTTACTGTGCATGACCAATGATTATTATTATTTTAATTATAGTAATTATTGTTATTATTATTCGTATTGTTATTATTATAATTATGTCTTACTGCAGCGTGCCGCTGGTGGCGATAGTGCGCGTGTTAGGTTATTGTCCAGCTGCTTTGACAAAAGCGAAGAAGGCGAAAACCGGAAGTTACGCGAGCTGCTGTCATGGCGCATCACATGTAATTCACTGCGCTCCAGACATTTGATGCAACACAGTAAGAAGTGGTGTGAAGGTACGTGAGAGCATGTTATTGTACAACAAACTAGTTTCATAACGAGAGCGGAATCCAGTCGGTGAACGGAAGCCAGGGTCTGACGTTAAAATGACAAACCTCGCTTTGTTGTGAAGCGGTGGCGGAGTTAGCAGCTAGCCGCCGTTAGCTGCCGTTAGCCGCCGTGTCCTAGAACATTTCAACACATTAAGGTGCAAAATCAAAAGTGCGTTTGAATTCAAATTTCATCCTCCGCTTTTCGAACCTGTACTGCGTCTTGTTGTGTTTTTGGTTTTGGCCTCTTGACTAACAGTGATCTGTAAAATGAACACTCGTTGTCATTTACCTGCACGGTCCCTAAATATGTCCTGTTGTCCTCAGGTTGATATAAGTTGACTGTCTCTCCTGGACCAAAACAATGAGCACTCAAGTAAGCAACAGATCCACCTCTCACTCACTCATTCTTTTGTTCTATCCAGTGAGATTAACTGTGAACTTGTGCTTTGGTTTCAGTACAGCATCCTATTCAAGCAGGAGCATGGTGAGTCACATCATCATCATCATCAGAAAAACACATCTCACTGTATATGTGTGTTCAGTTTCTTACTCAGTTAACAATACTCATTATTATGTAAGACTAGTAACATCAAGATAATTGTAACTGTGAGTTACGTCATTTTCAAAAGATGTAACTCCTGAGTAGAAAAGTATTCAAGTTGTACTAATACACTCATTTTTTGTTGTTGTTTTGATGTTTTCATACTTTCCCCATCAACCCCCTATTTCTTCCTATGAAATATCACTTGAACTCACACAGCTAACATTGTTTTAACCTGCATTTGTTTCCTCTCAGCACACGATGACGCCATCTGGACGGCAGCCTGGGGTAAAAGTGAGGCGGATGGGTCTGAAACCATTGTCACTGGCTCACTAGATGATATGGTGAAAGTGTGGAAATGGTGAATTTTCTTTTTACACTTCTCAAGAAAAGACTGAAATACTGTACTGACGGTCTCTCGTGTAGTTGATATTCTTTTAGTGGTTTCCAATGTAATTCTGCAAAAACACAACAAGAAGAATGACAAAACAATAATGAAAATATAACCTCCTTGACGAGGGAATATGGTTATAGTTATAAGTTATAAGGTCATCAGATTTTATTTTTATTGTGGTTGTATAAAGTAAATTAATAGAGCTTTTTTAGTCATTTTGTAAGACAATGACATGACAGAAGCTTCCTGGTGCACAACACACATAACAAATCAAAGAGGTAATGAAATGACAGATAAATATTGACTCAAAAAAGAAAATGTTTTAATAAAATGCAAACTACGAATATTATATTTCTGGCTTATGCTCCGTTTAAAATGCTCTAAAGATTTAACACTGTCACTTGATCACAATCTTCTACAGACGCTGCGTTTAGCCTTCAAAGCATAAACAGTTTCTCTAATTGTCTGTAAAACATCACATCTGTAATCTGAGAGTTTCGTGACTTTCAATTTTTTCATCTACTGAACTTTGTTTGCATTGGACTGCAGACAAATATTCTGCCTCTCTGAGTTTTTACAAGAGAAAGTATTGATTGTGATCTCCGCTGCAAACTGCAACAGCACACTTCATTGCCTTTTTCTTTATGGATCATCGCCAGCAGTGCCTGCATTATTATGTCAGTATGGTAGAGATGATTAACAGGTAGATTTAAAGTCCTGATGTGACTTTTATCAAACAGTCTTTATGTGAGTTGCTTCAAGTCCCCTCTTTAATCATTTATTCACAGTATAAAAACATTTAAAGAATGGTTTATTACACATTAATTTTGTTTTACCACAACTCAGGAAAACCTCATGTACAGTATCTGTCAACAAGTATAATTTCTCCTGCTGCCACAATGTGAGTCTTGCTCGGCCTTTCACAAGCATCATGTTTGTTTTGATGAGCGAAGCATGTAAAAATAAAACCCAGGGGAAACCATCTTATGCTGCTCATCACAGCTTGAGATGATTTCACATGTTTGGTGAAACGGATTGCAGCTCCTCAGGAATCCCTGTTGAACATGCTGCTGAAATTCACCTGATTTGACTTGAGTTGGCTAAATAATCTCTGTGCCATGCTGTTTGATGCAGGTCAGACGAGAAGCTGGAGCTGCAGTGGAGTCTGGAGGGACACCAACTGGGTGTGGTGTCAGTGGACATCAGCCACAATGGAGCCATCGCTGCCTCGAGCTCCCTCGACGCTCACATCCGTCTCTGGGACCTAGAGTCTGGGAAACAGATCAAGTCCATGGATGCTGGGCCAGGTGAGACTGGGCCTCATTGATATGGTTTTGTTGTTGTTTTGAATAATTAGTGTTGGCTGGTACAGTGGCTTTGTGATAGAGCTTGCATGCTTCCCTTAGCTTTTTGTCTGACAGCTGTATGAGAGCAGATGTACATGTTACTTGTAGTTTTACATTTACCTCCTCATATGCATCATTTATTAAGTTAACCTAGATTTATCCAACTGACAGCCCAATTGAACTCTTGGCTTTATTTTATTGTTACAGATATTATGTATTATTATATTATACATTTCAATTTTATTTTATATGCAAAACTGATTTAGATTAACTTACACACATAATCAGTCTCACTGTGTTGGGTTGAGTGTTTTTTACTGTGTATCATTAAATCAACCACATAAAGAATTGATCACTCAGTTTGGTTTTGAAACAAACCTGTTATTTTTTATTGTCACTCCTCACGAACCCAAGAAGTTGTGTATCTTGAGCTGAGTTGTGCTTCATCTAAATGCCTTGTCACCTTCTATTAGTGATGCTCCATTTCACCCAGTGGTCAGTAGGGGTCATTGGATTGCAGACTTTTCTTTCCCTCTAATTGAACATATTGTATTTTGGTGTTTGGTTTCTTCAGACATAACATTTGTGAACATAACCCCTTCTTTCCTCCTTTTTCTTTTTATGGATTTAAGTTTTACTGCATTGCTGAGCTAACAGCCATCAGAGCAGAAAGTAGGATGTGTGTCCTGTCCAGGGGCAGCGAGAAAAAACATGCAAGCGTCAAGGCACAGATTAGTGGTTCACATGTAGATATGCAGATTAGAAAATAACTTAAATTAAAACTATAGCTTTACTTAATGTTTTCTGCTGTAGACTACACTGCTAAAATAAACAATTCCTGGCAAAGAATCCTTTAGATGAGTTAAATCCTCTGGTTCTCTTTCTGCTTTCCTCCTTAGTTGATGCATGGTCGGTGGCCTTCTCCCCAGACTCCAAATACATCGCCACAGGAAGCCATCATGGCAAGGTCAACATCTTTGGTGTGGAAAGTGGCAAGAAGGAATATTCTCTGGACACTCGAGGGAAATTCATCCTGAGTATAGCTTACGTAAGGAGCCATAAATTGTCATTTTGCTCTAGTGGGGGGCCTCACTGCTTGGCTTCACAATAACTCATCTTAATTTGTGTTTCTCCTCATCCACTCCCTTTGTTATAGCTCTTAACCCTTAGTCTGCATGTCTAGAGATCTTTAATAGTCTTGTCCCAAGTCTCCAAATTTCAATTATACTCAATGATTAAATGTGTCTTAATGTATTTTCCTCTTTAGAGTCCTGATGGAAAATATTTGGCAAGTGGAGCCATTGATGGAATCATCAACATCTTTGACATTGCCACTGGAAAACTACTCCACACACTGGAAGGTAGATCCACTTATTCATTTATATTATTTAAGAAATAAAAGACGGAACAAGTGCTGCAATTGGGGATTATTTTCATAACCACTTAACAGCTATATATTTTCTTTTTTAACCGAATACTGAATAAATTGACCAATATTTCTAGCGCTAATTTACTAATTTAAAATGTTCAGGGAAATAAGCAAAGCTGCATTAGGTCAAGGCAAAATAATCATTTTAGTGTTAAGGATGAAAAGGAGCTTCATGTGTGAAGATCCTGATGCTACCTTACAGCAAAGTTACTGCTGAAAACAGCAGAGGTAGATATGAGCCACACACAAAGCGTCTGATAGACTCTGTCTCCTCGCTCTCACAGGTCACGCCATGCCCATCAGATCTCTCACCTTCTCCCCTGACTCCCAGCTACTGGTCACTGCCTCAGACGACGGCTACATTAAGATATACGACGTGTGAGTTCAGTTGGCAGCTCCTTTACTCTTGATGTCAGTTTTGGTTCTTAAAATGAGATAGAACTTTAATGCAAGAGATTTTTGTGCTATACTTCACAGTAAAATGATAGAAAACAGGAGAAACAACCATTGTGTTTGCTCTAATAAATTTGCTGTTATTGTTTTGCAGGCAACATGCCAACCTGGCAGGTACACTGAGTGGACATGGATCATGGGTTCTTAATGTTGCGTTCTCCCCAGATGACACACACTTTGTCTCAAGGTAAACCAACAATTCTGGCTTCATTCTGTGTGAAGACACAGTGTAAAGAAGCTGAAACATGAAGTTATATATAAAGTCACATGCTCCACACAGGAAATTAGTTCAATTTCTGCAATATCACAGTTCACTTTGTGAAGCTGAAGAAATTGGGCACAGACAGATGTTGCAAAACGTTGACACACCTGAATTCATAGGTATGTCAATACTCTACAACACACACTTCCAAACAAGGTGGAATTTGATTCTACTGGTTATTATCTCATAGTGCTCTTACTATGTCATTAGCTGCTCCTGAAATTTTCAAAGGGGCTGTATGTGACAACACAAATGTCCGAGTCACTTCCTCTGGAGTGTTTCCTATCCCCAGGGAAATGTCTGGCAGATTAGACATTTAGTCCATTCCAAAATCCAGAGCAAAACGGTTGGGCGTTTTGTTGACGTTCCCAACATGTGGCGAAAGTGGAAAAAAAACTAAGAACGTTTAAGCTTTTTGTGATTAGGTCACACAACGATGATTTTATAAGTCATGTCCCGCCTCCTGCATGCTCTACTGCTCACCTGAACCTTGGAAGATTTAACTGTTGTGAACACATCTGACAGTTTCCTCCTGTGTCTTCATATGTGAAAGGCAAACTCCCCAAAATGTCAGGACATTTTTTTTTTACACATTTTCTGAAGTTCACGTCTCTGATAACAGCCATAGTGAGTTGGCGAGCATTTCCCTCTATTCCCCATTGTGTGAAGCCTTCAGCTGAGGGTGTTTTTCAGACACAGTTTCCAGTTCACGGTGCCAAGATAAACTAAGCAGGTCAGCCAGACGACTCACAGCGTGATTCTGACATGATCTGTAAAACATGGTCTCTCTCTCTCTCTCTGCTTCCTTCTTCAGTTCGTCTGACAAGAGCGTCAAGGTTTGGGACGCGAGCTCCAGAGCGTGTATCAACACCTTCTTCGACCATCAAGATCAGGTGACAAAGCTCAACTGTCCTCTCTTCACTGATTGTGTTACAATTAAATTCAAAGTGAGAAAATCCTTCAGCTGGAGGTGCTGATGAGTCTGAGAAACCAACGTGGCCAGTGTCAGGGACTGGCCCCTCTCATCACCCGTCTCTGATGCTTCAGCTCAGACAAAACCAATTAACCCAGCATCATTAAATCTCTGCTTACTGGTGCCTGTGGGGAGGGTTATTCTTCTCCAACAAAGCCTCTGACTGAAATGGCACATCTCCTCAGAAAGGAGATCAGAGGCGGTCGCATCGGCCATATTGTTTTTGTGTCAAATTCTAGTGTGTAAAGCCAGAAAATCTACTGAGACAATTCGCAGTCAGTCTGTTGTTTTAGCTTTGCTTTGTTCTGCTGTTTGGATCAGTCTCAGCTCAGTCTGCTTTGTTCTTCGGCGTCTGATCAAATGAGAGGCGCTTGGATTTTCGTGAAAAGCTCAAAGGGCTGTATCCACGACCGCTCGATTACTTGTTTAGTATATGCAGATGTGTGATTCAGCCTGAAGCAGAGAGACAATGTAGAAATAGATTTATTTTTTTTCTCATGAATAAGAAAATTTAGAGGGCATTTAAAAAAAGTTTGATGGTACATGGACTTGTAATAGACTCATGCACCTTCTATTCACTCCCTGCACCCTGAAACCAGGGTTCATCTATTCAGCGAGGAAACTTAAAATATTAAGAAATCTTGTTTGGCGTGTTCGTTAAAGATAAAGCTTTTCCAGTTCAGGATGGAGATCATGAGGAGTGTTCACTGTTCAGCCAAGTTTTTTTCTAAACCAAAGACTTGTATGCAACATATACCAGTGCACAGAGTTATTGAAATCCTCTGTTCTGCTATTGTTTTCAGGTATGGAGTGTAAAGTACAACAGCACTGGCTCCAAGATCATCTCAGCTGGAGACGACCGTGCCATCCACATCTACGACTGTCCCATGTGATGAGGGACGTCCTGTACAGGCTGCATGAAGATTGAGCTGTTTACTCAAATCATTGAGTAAACAGTAAATCAACTCGGGGAGGGAGGGACTGTAAATGTCATGGTTTATTTTGCACTGGCCAGGTATGGTCAAATAAAGGGTTGTTTTTGTACTTGTGTTTCTGTTGTGCTTACTGAGGTTGTAGTATATGCTTGAAAACACAGAGCACACAGAGGTGTCAGATAAGAAAGGCGATTAATTATGCAGCCCTGGAACTGATCTGATTATAAATGAATGAAGAACGTTGAATGATGCTGTTAAAGGTCCAGTGTGTAAGGAAACTGTTAATAGAAATTTAATGTAGAATAATCCTCATGATGTTTTCACTAGTTAGTTTCATCTAAATTGTATGAATTTTAGTTTTCTTTACCCCATTAAAGGCCCTTTATATTTAAATACTTTATATTTAAATATTTACATGGAGGCCACCATGTTTTTTACATTAGTCCAGACTGGACAAACTAAACACCTTTTGAGTTTTTATGACAATTAAAGGCTACCACAGGTTCTTTTTCATGTTTGGAAGGAGAGGGTGAGGTGAGGGGTGTTCAGCTGCAACTTCATCACTAGATATCACAAAATTCTACACACTGTACCTTTAAATGACCAGAATACAACCTAAAAACCTTTTATAGTTCTCATTTTACGGTCAGCAGAAATGGAATATGATTTTCGTAATTGGCTTCTTCATGTAAGAATCATTACCTTAGAATGAGCCTTTCATATCTACGGAGACGCTCCTCTTCCACAGTCGGCTTTAGAGCAGACCTTTCACACTAGCTGAAGACCACTGTAGTTTCTCCTACATGCTTGGAAAGCTGGGCTGAGGTCTGTAACCTCACTTTCTCTGTTGTGTATTAAGTCATATATAGTGTTTCCCCCAAATTTTTCATTTTAAAAGCCAGGGAAGGAGCAAACTCAGAGCAAAGCTTCTACAGCAGTGTGCAGCAAACTAAGTTTGATCTATATCTCCACCTAGTGGCCCAGCAGGTATACTGCAGAGAAGTAATCTGCTGGAGATATAGCAAAAGGCATGAATGTACAGTACAGTGTATTATGTACAGGTAATGACTGCTTCCCACCACAGCAGTGATTCAGATTATTTTATTATTCTTAATCAAGGGACAACAAGTTAAAATTTTGAAACCATGAAACGTCCAGGGATTCTCAGTTATAAGCAGGTCATTGGTAAATACAGGTGATGCACTTCCTCCTCACAACCGAAGTGTTGGTTCAGAAGATGCGGAGCAAATATTGAGTCGATCATTCTTAGTGACTCAAACACAGTGTTGTACAAACATGACAACATTTTAAGTCAATGACAGAAAGGCCACAACGTGTGGATCCTGGTTGAAATTAGTTTTCTAACAGTAACAGTAACAGTTCATCCGCTGCATTATTCTCCTGCAGCTTTGTTGTACCTCACACTCCTGAAGAGGACCGGTGAAATCTGAAGGCTACTTGGAGCTTGTGTGCCGCCACTGCTTTCATTCTGTTAATGTAACCAAACTGCAAAAACCTCCCAGTGGTTAAACTTTCCACCCTGTAACAGAATAATAGCAGATCTGACCCTCTGGCATCAGAGCAGTGTAAATACTGTTTACATGAGCTGCTGATGTCTGAAGTATCCTAAATCTATGTGCATATTTTATACAGTCACTTTACACAGACAGGAACAGGAAGAACCAGAAACACCTGCTTGTTTGGCCTTTTCATTTATCATTTATCAATGTGCAGACTGGGTCAAGATACCTGCACTTCTAACCTCACAAACTGCAACAGCTAGACTTTAAGGTCTGACTACCTGCTCACAAAGGCTTTTAGATAGATAGATAGATAGATATATTAAATAATTGTGTTTCTGGGAGATACCTTAACATTTATAAACACTGCTCAAACCCCTAACCCTAAACTTCAGGGATATCAACCTGTCCATTTAGGAAGCACAAGTAATTGTGAATCAAGTTCACCTGCTTTGGTGCAAATGAAAGGTGTCGTGGAGGCAAAAGCAAGAAAAGCCCCAAAAAGGGAATGGTTTTACATGTGGTGGCCACAGACTATTGTTCTCTCCAGTATCCACTGATACAAAATACTGAGTCAATGTGTGTTGTTAAAATATATAATTAGAGAAGCACTGACTTGAGTTGTCCATTCTCCTGTAACAAGCAGCCTGTTGTCATTTTTCAATGCATCAGTTGAGAGGCATACATGCAGATTATTTTTACATGGTGCTTTTCATTTTGGCAGTAACATTTTGCAGTATCAGTATAGCAAAAAAGCAGAAGAAACAGGTTTGGCAAAAGGAAAACAGAAATAATAATATAATATATAATAACACCTGTTACTCTCACATGCACCTGCAAAACATCACCCCTTGCTCTCATCATGCAGTATAAATACTGTATTAATACAAAACAGTCTGAAGAGTGGAGACACATACGGGTCATTGTCCCCTGAGATGATGCCTGGTGCAGGGCCGCTCTGACTCCATGTGTCCTTTCACCAGTGTCTGGACTCGACCAGGTCATCTCGCAGGCTCAGTCTCTTCAGAGTCTCGTATCCCAGCACGATGACCATGGATGTGGGAACGGCGGCAATAATGCGGGCCGACAGCCCCTTGGTCATCCCCCAGGCGCCCTCCTCCACCACCAGATGCTTGAACGTCTTGATAAGAGAGGATCGTCCCTCCACCTTTAATGGACAAGGAAGTGTTGAAGCATCAAAATGATGTGCAAAAAAAGGGAGGAAGATTGAAACGTCTTCTGTCTTGTCAGCTGCTGATTTCAAGGTCATGACTGACTTTTCTGTCTCAGTTCTTTAAGGCAACAAGGATACAAATCTTTATAGTGCTTAGAAAACCTTAGTCCTTCTGCTGAGGAAGATGTGAGTTCCGCTTTCTTATGTGTGTATTTAGAAATGTCCAGAGACTGAAACTGATGTTGAAGTGCAGTCAGGTTGAGAGTGTTGGGAAACCACTGAGTAGCTACAGAGAAAAAGTTGACTGCAGCTGTATCTAGTGTTGAGAGATCCCTGCATGGAGCGAACCATTCTGTGGAAAACACTGAATGATTCTGGAGAAATAGACTGGTGTTATGTTGAATGTGTGAATGTACAATATGACAATGTGATCTCAGTTCAAGTCAAAGGACAAGGAGGATGAGCCCTGAACCAATCAGCAATTGAGGATCTGGACAGAAGATTTTCTTAAATGCAGAGATGGTGTTTGACTCCTGAACCCAGAGTGGGAGCTGCTTACTTTGGGAGAGAAGCGATCTATTGGGACAATACAGTGTTAAGAGCTCTTTGATATATGAAGGGGTTTGATTCTTGAGGGCTTTGATTGTGAGGAGCAGGATTTGAATTCTATTCATTCATTTACAGGGAGCCAATGCAGAGAAGCTAAGACAGGAGTAATATGATCTCTCCTTCAGACGTTAATGGACAATTACAATGTCCTCAGTTGGAATTAGAAGGTTCTGGGTCATCCGGGCCTTAATGTCTTAAGGGCACACACATTTTCAAATGTTTTAGTGGTGATCTTTCGCTCCCATTCACTTCCAACCAGTACGAGTGAGGAGGAAAATAAAACATTAGCTTCCTGTGGCGAAACAAATCGCACTGTGGCTTCAGATGGAGTTCAACACCTCCCACTGACAACTGTGATCTAATAGAGCCAATACCGATCATTCCACTTTACAAGGTTTAGTTTTTATTCATCAATTAATGGGAACCACCTTAGAAAAATGTACTTATATATAAATATATATTTTAAAAAAAAGAATTAGGTGATTTGTTCTTGTCTCCCATGAAGATCTCCTAATTTCAGCATTCATGTGGTGCACAGTGATTACCTGCATTCTGGATCGGACAACGTCTATTGGGTTGGTGACGATGGCGGTAGTTGCTGCAGACAGTGGTCCTGCAACCACCTGCACAACCAGGTGGGGGCACTCACGGGGTGCCAGCGAGGACATCTGCTCTATAAACGGAAATGATATGAAAACAGTGTAAATACATTTTTCAACACGAGCTTTGTATCGTTGTCGATCATGCAGTAGATTTTACATTTCTCTAAAAGCTCTGATTTTCTCGTGTACACTTTTATATGTGTCTATCTTTTGGTCTTTTTATACCAAATCAAGCAGTGAGGTAGATTTTGATCTCCTTACAGGCGAGCAGCAGCAATGAAAAGAAATGAGAAACCTCAGTCAACAAGGTGTGGATTTACCTGTATAAAAATGATAAAGAGTCCACCACAGTGCACTGCTGGGGATGTATGTGAGTATGGACGCCACATAGCCCCTGTAAAAGCCCCTGAGTCCATCTGCTGCAAATATTTGCCGTACAATTGCATGCGTCTGCCCCAACGTTAATCTGCCCTTGGTCAGGTCGAACGTCATTTCGGGTCTGGTCTTGAAGCGGGTCAGGTGTTTCCCTTGTCCTTGCATCATCAGGTGCTGAGACACTACATCTATGGGCACACTGATTGTCTGGGCCAGAAGGGACGCTGTCCCCCCTGCCACCAACGACTTCACCGTGTTATTGGATGTGTGCAGGGACACACACTTGCGTACCACTTCATAGGTGGTTAAATAAGCCTGTTTTGAGAAGATGGAGAGCGTGTAAACCATGAATCCGCGATAGAGGCCACGCACGCCCTCGGCCCACACAATCTTGCAGAGAGCATCAAAGGTGCCGGAGTAGAGGCTCTTTCCCCTCTGCACCTGGAGGTGGGTTCGGATGACGTTGGTCGGATAGACCGTGGCCCGGGTGGTTAAGGCTAACAATACATTCAGGGAGAAAAACTTCCTCTTGTCCAGATGCTCCCATTCGATAATTTCGATTTCACCTTTTCGTTGCATGGTGCCGGATAGGGCAGCACTGAACTGTTAAAGCCAAGTGTCTACGGTCATCAACCCTCCATCTGCTGTCATATCTGTAACCAGGAACATTCAGCTTATTAAAACTCCATGATCAGATGAAGTCACAAACTCATTTATTCATTCAGAATATTAATATTTGACTGTTGTCAGGAAACATCACAGTAACAGATCAGAGCTGAATATATTAGTCAATTAATTGATTAGTTGATTGAAAGAAAATTAAAAATAGGACTGATAAGCTGTTTCTAAAACATTTTTTGTCTTATTTGTTGAAATCCTCTGAATGTCCTCGCATAGAGAAGGAAATATTACAGTTTGAGATTATGAGGCAAAAGAAACATTGCATGTGGGGAAGAAGAAACAGTGACTTCTGTCGGTGGAGTCAGTAATGGTGACATCCAAAAGTGAGATGTAAATAATGATCAAATTACTGAGAAATAAATATTTGAACTATAGAGAAGCTAGTTCAGTGAATGCCTTTGAAAGAAAATCTAAAATAACTCTCTTTGCTTCAGCCTTTAACTAACTCTTGCACTTGCCTGCACACATTTTGTATCTCTTTTTCTCTCTTTCTTTCCTTCTTTTTAAAGGTACAGTGTGTAGAATTTTGAATCTAGTGTTGAAATTGCATGTTGCAGCTGAACACCCCTCACCTCACCCTCTCCTTTAAGTGAAATTTTTCACGTCTTTGTATTTTTTAATACCTGTTATCTAAATGGGGGAAATATGCATTTAGCGACTTTGTGAAGTAAAAAAATAAGATAAACTAAATAGATGTAGCATATGGTCTGCAGTTGTTAGACAAGGAGTTAATGGTATAAATACAGTCTGTCCTTGTCTGGTTAACTAACTAGCACACAGTCAGTTAGCTCAGTGTCTGTCTGGTCTGCAGCCAGGGAGAAGACAATGGGGTGATCGATAGTGATGGATCTCTCACCGACTGTTTGTTCTCTGAGTAGCCACAATCGAAATTACCAAATGAATAAACTCTTAAAATCTTAATTGATTTTCTTTAAATGTTATACACCTTTAATAGAATGTTTCAAGGTGATTTTAAGTTTTTTTATTTTAGCGAAGTTCCTTTCTAAATAGTGTACTTTTTCTTATACAGCATGCATAAAGCAAGGTGATTTATGTTTTTCCAAAGCCTAATACAAGTCCAAGATTACAAAGTGACCTGTCCCAGATCATCAAATTCAGGCAGAATTTTCTGTTTTGGCACAATGAACGCTAAAAGCTGTGCCATGTCTTCTCTGAGTATGATATCTCCATTCTCTCTTCTTGTCTGGTAAGAAAACATCTTAAAGTTTTATCAAAAGGAATAATATGTTTATCTAATGTGTAAAACAGATATCAGAGTCACAGAAATCCAAATTGCAAAGAAATTTCCCAGACTACCCGAATTCACCCAAGTGATACTGTTTCTACTGAGAGAGGGGAAAGTTTGTAAATGTGTGATGAGCTCAGTCTGAAATTTTCAGAAATACTAATATTCATAAAAGACATCAGAGTTTAAACTTCACCTGTTAGGGTGTGTGTAGCTTTGGTTCCTTTCCCACAGTAGCAGTCGTGAAGCCGGGCTGCTGTGCTGAACTCATACAGCCTGTCCTGACATCAGGGGCTCATCTCTCCATCACTACTACTATGACCTGTCACATCTCCTTCTACTGCTGCTGCTGCTGCTTATGTAGTCTAGCTGTGATGATGCTCGAGGCGTGCCACTAACCCCAGCAGGCTAAAATGTAAATGACACTTAAACAAACTTCACATTTTAAAGTCAGGTTTATTCATAAAGCACATTTAATAACAACCACAGTTCACTGTGTGATAAAAGAAGACAATGTGAAATACATGAAAAGAATAAAATAACATTTTAAATTAAAATGTGATGACAAAAACAACTTAAGGGCACTCAAAACAACACACAAGGGTCCTCAGTCTGGTCTTTTGTATGTCAAGAGAAGGGGAGAACTCAATAGTAATAGGGTAACTGTTTCAAAGTTTAAGGGCAGCTACAGTGGGCTCTGTCATAATAATAATAATAATAATAATAGAAACATTTAAAGCTGCAAGCACTTGAACAGACAGTGATAGACAGTGCATAATAATGATAATGTCTCAGAAACATTTAAAAAAGAAAGTTGTTAAACTATTTACATGTTGTTTTGTTGGTTATGCTGAGTGGGCGTGGCTTGGGGGTGGGGGCTCTCCGCTCTGATTGGTGGGCACGGCGTCTCGCTGTGCATTGCTGCGGGTGGGTCGTGTTGATTTCAGAAGTCATCATGGCGCTCACTTCCCCAGTCCAAGGTAAAGAGCTGTCTCCTGCTAACATCACCGCACACAGCCGCTCTGACTTCCAGCCTCTGCCACACAGTGACCGAGTGAACCGGACACGAGTCTCCCGTGAAGGGCCGTCGCTGTATTGTAGCTAACGTTCCATAAAGTCTACTGCCATCAAGCTGCTGGAGACACAGAAGCTAACCGCAGCTAGCTCCGTTAGCCTCACTCTTCAAATACCCGAGCTGCCGCATTAACCTGCTGCACGAGCCGGAGGCGTCTTTGCTCAAGCTAACGACTCTTTCGCTTCTTTAGCTTGAATTGCGTGTTCATCGGTTTCTCCCCTGCTATCTCCCGAAGACGTCCGGCTCGTGGTTTGATAAGAAACGGCAGTGTGCTCCGCGATAAGGAGCAGCAGCGTTAGCAGCATTAGCCTCTGCTCCAGAGCCTGTCACCAGGGGATGATGAAATGTCCTCAGACACCATTGTCTCCATCTGTCACACCTGAATCCAACGAGCTTGTCTTTGTGTGGTATCACGGTTATATTTGTGTATTTGCAATCAGTCTGTCTCTCATAAAAAAAAAAAAACTCCTAATCCAAACACAGTATCCGCTCAGTTTCACCTCAGCCTGTCTAATTATTATTATTTCCACCTTCCACTGGACTCTGCCAAGTTTAACCCTGCAGCTTTAGTGGGAACAGGTTCCTGCAAGCTCAGTCTCTTTCAGTATCTGTCTGGTGATCAGGTTCTCTTCCTCGTGTCATGATGTGTTTCAAATGTCACTGCATCATTCTGCCTTTCTGCAGCATGTTGTGTATTTTCTTTATTTTTTTGCATACTGATATTTAAGAGAGATGAGCACAGAAGCAGCATCTGTTGAAAGTTTTGATTTGGTTGGTATGTAAAGAGTAAGGAGACGTTATCGACATGCCAGGTGTCGCCAGCTGCCTGTCAATTACCTGAATTAAAGAGGTCATGTACAGAAAATAGTGCTGGGCGATAGAAACGTGTTCATATCTGTTTACACTGATAATTATCAACTGTACAGATTACCACGAAATTTGGTGGAAGGATGATAAATGGGTCAGACGTGAACTCGTAACATTTTGGTGAAGATCTGAATCGGGTGGATCCAGGAATCTTTTCTTTGACATTGCAAGATATGAGTGATTTCATAGAGAGTAATTCATGAAGGCACATTCAGAGACCACATTTCTTTAAATGTGTGAAATTTGAATCTAATGAGACTTAAAATATGTACTTCCTGTTTGGTTTGCACATCATTTAGTTGATTTGCCTTTGTCTTCAGCCGCAGTGATAATGCTCTTTCTGCGGGGCCCCACCACCAGAGGAAATACTGCAGATAAATAATGTGTTGTTAACAATGGTTTATTATCTCATTTGTCTAAGTTGAATTAGGTAAGATAGATAAGATAAGCCTTATATTATTTCTCCCCTTTTGAACCACTCTATCATGTTTGCCTGACATTTCTTTTTCTGGTTCATCTGAAGAAGATGATTGACTACAGGTTTGCAGAATTGTTCTCAAGGACGATCTTCTTTTTTAGATTTTTTCAGTAGATTAGTCACAAAAACTACACAGCATGCTTTATATTGAAGACATTATTAAGGGCCTGCTTTCTTTGCTGTTTCTGTCTCATCATAATCACAAAAGCCAGTAACCTGAGAGCCAGAATTTCAGCATGATGTCCTGTTGAGAGAGCAGTGAATAAAGCAAAGACATTGCTGTGCTTGCTTAGCTTAGGTTTTACATCAAGTCAAGAAATCTACAAGCTGTAATATCTAGTGTTTTGTCCAAAACTAACATATGAGATACTAATCTGTAATTTATTTTGGATATATTATACATTTTAAGTATAAATTGCTCCGATCAGCAAGTGAATGCAGGTAACCACTTCCTGTGTGGAGAAGGAACAAAATAATTGTGCATTTGTATTCTTGCCTGTCAATTCCAATAAACTCATTCACATTATAATCAAAAGCAAAGTTGGGATGTTTTTGAAACAAACTGCTTAGCCACAAATCATTATCAGTACATGGTACTTACCAAGCCAGCATGATGTGCTCACATAGTATTAGTCTCACCCAGATTTAAATGGTGTATCCTTCCCTGATCTCCTTTGTTTTTGTGGATATCCCCACAAGGTAAACGCTAGTGAGATGGCTGACTGTCCGAAACACAAATGTGGATTTGAGTCGATCATATGTAGAAATGTCCTGGTCCTGTAACACGAACTTTTGATTTGCATGAGTCTCTTTTCTAATGAATGTTTGTTTCCCCTCTGCAGAGCACCCATATAGCCATCTAATTGACACACTGAAAGATGGCACAATCAAGTTCTTCAATCCACAGAAATTAAATGATCCACGATATGGTGAGTTCAGACCCTCTGACTTAATGAAAGAGCACAGAGATGTTCCCTCTTCTCTTGTTGTATTTCTAACATTGCACAGGACACAGAGCAGTTCAGATAATAGTATTCCTGCACTGATGTTTCCAGAGTAGAAGCATAAACATGTCAACATGTAAAGGGTGTTAGAGAGCATTTATATCACCACCTCTCTTTTTGTTTTCTCTTTGCAGACAAGCTGCCTCTGTCCATCCGTGTCTTACTGGAGGCAGCGATTCGTAACTGTGATGGCTTTTACACTAAAAAAGAAGACGTTGAGAACCTCTTGGACTGGCAGGAGCTGCAGAATCAAGCTGAGGTTCCGTTCTCTCCAGCTCGAGTCCTGCTCCAGGACTTCACGTGAGTTTCATAGGGTTTACATTTGCTCAATTTGACCAAGAAGCAGTACAATTATCTGGATCTCTTCCTTTTCAGGGTGTCAGTGCTCCAGTTTGATTAGCCACTAGCACTGAGGCCACATATTAAAAACAGGAAAACAAATTTCTGAGGAAGGAAAGTTTTGGAGTCAATGTGTAAATGTGACTGACAAGACGTGAGGATGTATTTAGTTTTACACACATTAGTTTTCGTCCGAAATTGTTACGACCTGGTTTGCAAAGAGCTTTACACCAGGTCTCTCTGCTGTATAATATTTCAGAGAAGCAAAGTGAGGCATCAGACATTCACTGCTCAATGTGATTTTCAGTAAATGAAATGACAGAGATGTGATTAGCTTCCTCTTTATTAGAGAAGTCAGAGCAGATTGCTGAGTGATGGGTTTTATGGAACACTGCTGATCCACTGGATAATGTAGAGATGAGAATTATACAGTCTACTTAATGCGATCTTCTTTATTTATAGTCGTCCTTGTACTGAACGTGTGGTCTTTTAATTATTTTTCTTCAGTGGTATTCCTGCCATGGTGGACCTGGCAGCCATGAGGGATGCTGTTGCCAAACATGGCGTGGACCCCAGCCTGGTCAACCCAAAATGCCCCACAGACCTCATTGTAGACCACTCATTACAGATTGATTATAGCAAATGGTTTGTTTGCATTTGCTTTTTAAAATTTTTTTATATATTAAGTTAGAGAGTTTTTTTTATTCAAGTGAAAACACTAATATAATTTATGAATCTTTCTCTCTGGTTTTCACAGTGCCATACAGAATGCTCCAAACCCTGGTGGAGGGAATGGCCCAAACCAGAGCCAGGGGCCCTCTCGTTCCACACCCTCCAGGCCTCCGTCCAGAGGAGGCTCACAGTGCGGAGGCCAGCGGGGCACATGTAGTAAAGCTGCCTGCAATGACCCTCCATCCTCCCCGGGTCAACCCCCAGCCTCCGTCCAGCAGATCGAGAACACACCCCTCCTCTGCCCTTTCCACCTGAAACCTGTGTCAGAGTAAGTTGTGGAGAACTGAGGGGCTGTTGATGTAAAGTATAGAGGAAAACTTTAAATGCAGGTTTAACTTTCTCTGAAGGCTTGTTAAATATGAGCTCTCCTGTATTTTTTTTCATTTTAATTGCTTATTCATGTATTTTAAGAAATGTCAGTTATAGCGAACAAACCCCAGATGTTTGCCTTTCTGTGAAGGATTGTTAAATATGAGACACTTTTTCCCGTAGGACTGTTTCAGCTGTGTAAGCAGGTCAGTCTGTAGCTCCCGGCTCGCATGTATTAATTCTAATCAGTCTCAGGTAGAGCTGATCTTTGTAATATCTCCATGAATTAATATTTATGTTTTCCTGGGTAAGCGGGGCGGCATTTCCTCTGCAACAATCAGTGGAGTTACATGCAGCCAAAGAACCAAATGTCTGATCATATAAGACAGAGTTTGGACTTTTAAAATGCATGTAAACATCTTGAAAAAAAAGGACCATAACGGACATCTCAAAATCGGAAAAAAGAACACCTAGATCTAAGTCGTTCATTGTCAGCATTCTAACGCCATGTATAATCAGCCATTGTTTCTAAATCGAATTTTGCATTCTGCGCATGCTCAAGAATTTCCGCCAGGGCTTTCACTCGGAAGTGGAAGGAGACGGCTCTGGTAATAAATAGTAGTGTTGCCAGAAAAGGTCAAACGACACCATGGCTTCAACGAAATCAACAACTCACTTCTGGACATTAGAGGAGATCTTGTTTGAAATGTCGCCAGATAGTTTGTTGCTGTGATGTATAGGTCAACCGGAAGTGGCTCTACAACCACTTGTTGACAGGGCTACAGGGACGCATAGCGTAGCCATGCACCGGCCATTTATTCGATTCTCTGAACGGCATATATACTCAGACAAGTGACAGCGGTCCGTTCGGTGACAAAATCGGTATATGGCTTAATCGTATCAAGCTATCCCATGTATACGTACTGAATGAGGTTAAATGGAATACTGGTTTAACTACTGATAACCTGCAGGAAGAACTTCTCTCCTGTCTGCAGCCTGTATGTCTAGGTTGCTGTTTTCAGATATAAACTCTGGAGAATGTCCGCACAGACGCGTTCACAACAACACAGACATCTCCAGGGTGTTGTTGTTTACAGTTCATGTATTAGAAACATCATCAGCACAGCCACCCGCTCACAGTGAATCCTGCAGAGGATCGCCTGCTGTGTTCCTACATGGGCACGTTCAGACCTTATCTGGACTTTGTTCCAGGGGTCTGGTAGGAGGAACTCCAGAGAAATCCGGGAGCCTCTCTCTTGGACATTTGCGTTCTCAAAGACAGCCCCAGAGTTCAGTGCATGTCTGAAAGCATCTTGTGTCTGCTCGTCTCTGTCACTCTTCAGGCACAAAATGACGATCACATTTTTTAGTTGTTAATCAATAGTGTCAATTTTACCCTGATGTCCTGGCTGTGTGCTTCTCGTGTGGCAGGTGAACAGCACTCAAAAGCTTGGACTTTTTTTCAGTGTGTTTAAATACGTGTCTCATAACTTCTAGAATGAAATAAACAAACACAATGTAAACTTGAAGTACTGTTAATAACTTGTGATTAGTGTTGGTGTCAAGTCAGCGAGGAATTGGGAAGGGAGAACACTCAGGTGGGATACTCAGGAAAAGTACAAGGCGACCGGGTCTGAAGTGTGTCTGCTCTAACCCTGAAGCAGTGTACATGATAAGTATGTAAACTGAAAACCCTGTGAGCATTGCTGAATTTGTTTTATTTTATTTGTTTATTCATTTATTCAAGAAATGGCAGTTAAAGAGCAATCAGACCTCAAATGTTAAACATTCTGAGAAGGTGTGTTAGATATGAGCAGTGGCATATTTTTGTTTCATTTTCTTGCTCATTCATTTATCTGAAGAAAGTCAGGAAAAATATCAAATTATGAGAGGAAGTAATGCAACGATTGAAACATAACTCTTTGTCCCTGCACCGGAGCGAAGTAATATCATATTTATATCTGTAGTTTCTTACCTTAACTCACAAAGTCTCCTCAAAAAGTTTGGTCATCTGACTTAAACTATTGCCTTCACTGCCCTCACACTCTCTTCATCCTTTTTATCTGTTTTGTCAGCATCCATAATGCACAAATACGGATTCCATGAACAGACTATGGACAGACGGCTCTGTCCTTTTCCGAATCTGTATCTTAATGTTGAGGATAACTGAGCCTGTAGTCTCAGTTTTCACATTTCTAAACACTTATTGAAATTTGAAGATTAACTTGGTTATCAGTGTCACAACTGCGCTTTAGCACCTTCAACAGAGAGCTCGTACAGGTCTCATTAATAAACGTAACCACTGACTGACACAATGTTCTCCTCCTTTATGTTTAGTGTTTTGTTTTGTTTTTTTCTTCAGACCTGACACAGCTCTGAAGAATCAAGAACTGGAACTGACCAGAAACAAAGAGAGACTTCAGTTCTTTAAGGTAGCAGAAAGAGCAGATCAGATTTTATTACATTACATATTTTGAGACAGATTTTCTCACGGTTGTGTTTTTCCTCTGTCTGCCAAACAGTGGTGTTCTAAAGCATTCAAGAATGTGAACGTGGTTCCTCCGGACGTGGGCGCAGTCCACCAGGTGAACCTGGAGTATCTGTCCAGAGTGGTCCAGGTCAGCAATGGTTTCATCTACCCTGACAGTGTGGTGGGAACCGACTCTCACACCACCATGATCAACGGCCTGGGAATCCTGGGCTGGGGTACGACATTCTACCAGTGTTAACATTTTTGTTGTGAACATTGTCAGTCAGTCAAGCTAATCAAGAACTAGTTGTTACTCCTCTGTGGACAGTAGTATGACTCAGGTACTTAGAGGATTTAGAGTACAGGAAAATCAATAGGTAATACTCTCCCTAAATACACAGTGAAGAAGCTGTTATGCAAGTACTTTTCTGTTCATTCACTCTACAGTGCAAACCATGTTTTTGTTTCCGTCCTCAAGGTGTTGGGGGAATTGAGTCAGAAGCTGTGATGCTGGGCCAACCAGTGTCTCTGACTCTTCCTCAGGTGGTGGGCTGTAAACTGGTGGGCTCCATCAACCCCCTCACCACCTCCATAGACATCGTACTTGGCATCACAAAGGTAAAACTGCTCTGCTGCCCTTTAAATAAACCTGTAAAACTACAGGAACCACTAAGATATACACAAGAGGGTTTAAATAAGGTTGTATCACTGCGAACTGCAGGGACTTAAAGCAACGTGAACTGTAACATCTATCAGGAATCAAAATTCAAGCACTATTTAATTGCAAAACTATCTATCTCTGCCCAATATGAGTAGTAAAGTATAATGCACTTTGATTTTCCAGCACTTGCGACAAGCTGGGATCGCTGGAAAGTTTGTAGAGTTTTTTGGACCTGGCGTCTCCCAGCTGTCGGCCCCTGACCGAACCACCATCGCTAACATGTGCCCAGAGTACAACGCTACTGTCAGCTTCTTCCCCGTTGACCAAGTCACACTCAAGCACTTTAAAAAGACAAGTGAGTGCTGCCTGAAGAGTTAAAAATAGTGCACTGTATCTTCATTCACACAGTTGATGCTGGATTTATTCTCAAAGGTCCTGCTTTGATGGATTATCACTGGTAACCTGACATCAATTTCTTTTCAGATTTTACCCAGGAAAAACTTGAATTGCTGGAACATTACATGAAGGCTGTAAAACTTTTCCGAAGCTTTGAAGACCCCTCAGAAGACCCTGAGTATTCTGAGGTAATATTTACACTTGAATCTGAGCCACACTGCCTGACAGCTGATTTTATAATAAAGAGGCTGTGGAGAATATATGTGCTATAGTGAAAAGAAGTTAGTTCTGCCTTAATGGGACATTTTGAGTTGATGCTACAACAATTTAATATGTAGCTTATGAAAAAAATAATTCCTTATGTATTTTTTAGACCAGAAAAGTTGGAGTGATAATTGGGAAAGTTTCATCATGGCCTTGTTTGCAGGAGTATGGGGCCAGATTCATGTAATTAAGTCAAATAAAGCTTTCTTCTTTGTGCAGGTGATTGAAATCAACCTGAGCTCCATGGTGCCGTATGTGAGCGGACCCAAAAGACCTCAGGACCGAGTGGCAGTCAGCAGCATGAAAGAAGACTTTCAGAGTTGTCTTCAAGAGAAGGTAACGATAAAAAAAACACAGTGAAACTTTTGGTATTAATGTCCACTGCTTTACTCTGCCAGTGTGTATGATGCATCGTGGATGTTTTTGTCATCTCATAGCTGAGATTTGTTTGTTTCTTTCGGTCTCCTTGAAGGTGGGCTTTAAAGGCTTTCACATCTCCAAGGACAAGCAGGAGACCTGCATTCCTTTCCTGCACTGTGGTCAGGAATACCAGCTGGCCCACGGCTCAGTGGTCATCGCTGCTGTCATCAGCTGCACCAACAACTGCAACCCTTCTGTCATGTTGACTGCAGGTGAAGGACTGAAAGAAAAATATGAAATGAAATGAGTTGATTTTTAAATCCTACTTAACATGCGAGCATCCAAAGTTAATTGTCTTTCCGTTGCTTCCACGTGCTTCCCACAAATAACAGTATTTGTGATTCTTCTTTTCTTCTTCAGGTCTATTGGCCAAAAAGGCGGTGGAGGCGGGGCTTGTTGTCAAACCTTACATCAGGACCAGCCTGGCTCCCGGAAGTGGCATGGTCACTCACTACCTCAGCACCAGTGGAGTCCTGCCTTACTTTAGCCAGCTAGGGTAAGCATGTGTACACACACACATGCCCGTTGATATACACACATACCTTGAACTTGAATTATTACAAGCCCGAAGGTTACGCTCATAGTGACTGCCCTCTGCTGGATCATGAGACGAACTATACTGTAAATTTTGAATTCAAACCCATTATAAAGGTTTGAATTTTAACCTTTCCCCATGTTACTATGAATGTTTGAATTTGGAATAAAAAAGTGACAGCCACATCACACAAAGACACGTCACGTCTGAGTGACTCTTTTCTTCCTTTACGCAATGACAGGTTTGAGGTGATAGGTTACGGTTGTGCCACCTGTGTAGGAAACACAGCACCGTTACCAGACACTGTCATGGATGCAATCAAACAGGTTTGATTCAGCTTTTTATGTGGATCTCAAATTTAAAGTAAGAAGTTCTAGCTGACATCAGATCAAATCCTGACTGAGTGTACTTTGTTTCAGGGCAACCTGGTGGCCTGTGGGGTGTTGTCTGGCAACAGGCACTTCGAGGGCCGCCTGTGTGACTGTGTGCGTGCCAACTACCTGGCCTCCCCTCCCCTGGTGGTGGCTTATGCTATTGCAGGCACTGTGGGAATCGACTTTGAGAAAGAGCCTTTAGGTAAAAAGACACACGTCAGGATCCATCTTAAACTGTGACTCTAAAGTCTGAGGACTTTCATTCATGATATATACAGCAGGATTAACAGATGAAACCATAACACAAAGAGTTATCTGTTTGTTTTTATTTTCAGTCTCTATTACTCTAAAAATCTCAAGCATTTGACACGTGTTTTCTTATTGTTATTGGACTTCTTGTTGCTGATGCAGGGGTCACCTCTGAGGGGAAGGAGGTGTTCCTACATGATATTTGGCCTTCCAGAGAGGAGGTCCAGCAGACTGAGGAAGACACGGTCATCTCCTCCATTTTTAAGGATCTCAGGGGGAGGATGGAGGTGAGGAAACAATTTTTGTGCCACTGCGCCAGTGACAGTCAGTGGCCAGAGGCATTATGTTTTCAGGTTGTCTGTCCTGTTCTCGTGATTGCGATATTTAAAGCATGCATTGAGGGATTTTCTTCAAATTTTGTACAAATATTCATTTTAAACTCAAAGATGAACTGATTAGATTTTGGTGACTGAAAGTCAAAAGTCAAGGTCACAGTGACCTCATGTTACTGTGAATATGACATATTAGGAATGCCCATAGGTAATTTCATTACATCTGGTACAATTCACCTGGACTCAATGATTAACTGATTAGGTTTCGGTGGTCAAAGGTCAAGATCACGCTGTCCTCTTGAATGTGATATCTCAAGACGTCTTGAACTTCAACTTAAATCAGTTGTCACTTTGACTCAAATATAAAGTGATTACGTTTTAGTGGTTAAAGGTCACAAACCCACCAAAAAACTGAGGTGCTCACCTCGCCGTCTTGACAAAATTAGCAAGTTCCCCTGGATGTCACACTTCCATCACTGCTGAACGACGCTGTTTAAAACCTCTGCTACAGCAAAGTGATTTAACCTGGAATGAATGCTGATTTTATCCATCCAGATCGTTTCTTTTGACTTGTGGAAAAGCAGCTCTAGTTTCTCTTTGTCTAATTTGTGTTTTACTCAAGACAAGTGAAAAAATTACAATTGTTGTTTTGCCTTCTTCCAGAAAGGAAACACATTTTGGAACAACATCGAATGTCCGGAATCTGTACTTTTTCCCTGGGATCACAAGTCCACATACATCCGCTCACCTTGTTTTTTCAACAAGTTGGTAAGTGTCTGTGGATCACTGACAGAGTGGAACACTGACAGCGTCCTGGTGTCCATTATTGAAGTAACACTTCTTTTGTACAACTGGTAATTAACTATTAACAGTTTAGTCAGTAAGCTTCTTGTCTGCTTGTCTTTCCTCTCAGAGTAAAGATGTTCCTCCCCCTCACTCGATAGAGGGCGCTCATGCCTTACTCTTCCTTGGGGACAAAGTGACGACGGACCACATCTCACCAGCGGGCAGCATCGCTAGGGTCAGCGCGGCTGCCAAGTACCTGCTGGGCAAACGGTCAGTTTCCCTGTCAGACAAAAGGAAAACCAGATGTACCAAAATAATTACAGATGTAACCGACCTTTAATATTTAAATCATAAGAATGCACACACTACAGTCAAGATACAGGACCACACACATGCCATGTAAACAGAGGTTTACTGAATGGCGATTCCAGACACAATTGCTGTTCCTTACATAATGCAGCACTGGGTAAATATCAAAGATGTACATTAACATCTCCCCAATTTACAAAATCCTTACAAAACACAATGTTTTGGTAATCTCACTGTTTTTTTGATCACGGGAATGTTCAGTGTATTTACATTTCACTTTGAATATTTCCCCTCAGTCTGACGCCGCGGGAGTTTAACTCTTACGGTGCACGCAGAGGGAACGACGCAGTGATGACCAGAGGCACGTTCGCCAGCATTAAGCTCCAAAATCGATTCATCGGCAAATCAGGCCCCAAGACTTTGCACATTCCCTCAGGCCAGACAGTGAGTCAACTTTGACCTTTAGCTGCAGCATCATGTGTGTCCATCACCGTCAACTGCTTCAGGTTCAGCCTTGACTAGCCAGCTTGTTGTTTTTGCGAAGTCATTCCTGCTGCTGATGATTACTTGCTGTCTTCCTGATCAGCTGGACGTCTTCGAGGCAGCTGATCGCTATCAGAGAGATGGTGTTCCCCTCATTATCCTGGCAGGCAAAGACTATGGCTCTGGAAACTCCAGGGACTGGGTCGCCAAAGGACCATACCTGCTGGTAAACAAGCACACTGTACACAGACAGTACAATAAACAATGACAAGCATCTTATATTGTCTCATTTTCCTCACGTCAGTTTACTATCTATTGCCGATTAGTACACTAGAGGGATTTAAGTCCATTCAGTTTTATATAAACTCCTGATACTATAATTCTGAAATCGATTTGTAATATAGAAATGCAGTAAATGTTCATGTCAATTAAGGGTATAGAAATGTTTATCATGTAAACTTCAGTATTCATATAACCCTGGCTGGCACTTTGACATATTCACTTTCTGTTACTCCAACACTCCTTCGCTTGTGTTCTTGACTCACGGTTATCTGTGGACAACACAGGGGGTGCGTGCTGTCATCGCTGAAAGCTTCGAGAAGTTGCACAAGAACCAGCTGGTGGGAATGGGCATCATGCCACTGGAATTCCTGCCTGGCCAGAACACCGACTCCCTGGAGCTCAGTGGGAAAGAGAGGTTCACCATCACCCTGCCGGCGAGCCTGAGTCCGAGGCAGCAGCTTACTGTCAGGGTAAGCAACAGACAGCTGACACCACGCTGTGATGGTGGTCACACGCCGCTTAGAAAGATTTCTGCTTGTTTTTATTCTGATTGTTTTATTAACTTGTTCAAATAGGATAAATTGAATAGATATTGTTCTTTATCGAAGTATTAATAAAACATGCTTGTTCTGAGCACGGAACTGATCGTTTTCAGAATTCAAGATAAAAACAGACCATGTTTAATGAAAGTTTCCATCTTTTGACACTTTTTCAAATAATTTGAAGTCTCTTGAAGTTAAATGATTGACGAAGAATATTTAGCAAAGTTAAAGTGGTGCTGTAAACTAAACCATATGACTGTTATTTGATTAAACATATTAATGCTGCTTTAATTAATGCTACTAGAGAAACTAGATGTCACTTTTTTTACTAAATATATTAAAACTAAATTTATGGGTGGAACATGGCTCAAAATGCCACCTAGTGTTTTGAACTGTCTTGGACGTTCCAGGGCCAATGCTTGCGTCAATGCTCTCTACATCATGACATTTGTGTGTGTGTGTGTGTATGGGAATCTGGAAAGCTGTGCTCATTTTCAAACCCATGCTATAATTAAAAATTTCAGAGATGTCCCCTGCCCCCCTCCCCTCAGCTGTCTACGTTACACACACACTGTTTGATTCGTTGGCTGAGACAGCTGTCTGTGCGGTTCAGGATCACCGCTCTCATCAGACATGGTTTAAGCCCTGGCTCCCTCAGCTCTGGCAACATCTATAGCCTTGAGCTGTTAAATGTTCCAGATGATGCACGTACTGCACTTACAGGGTCATGGCAGCATCTCCGTAAAGCATTTCTTTCTGTTTTCTTGCAGACCAGTCAAGGGAAGTCCTTCTCTGTCACGGCACTGTTTGACACCGAGACGGACGTTATCTTCTTCCAGCACGGAGGGCTTCTTCGATACGTTGCACGGACTTTACTCTGAAGCAGCCTGCAGCCTGGCCTCAAGCTTACAGAGTGTGCACCAGGCTCATGAACTGCAGTGCTCATTATTAGTTTGTCTTCAACTTTGATGAAACTGGCTCATTGGACTATTGGTCTGTGTGTTTGAACTGGATATATACGTCTCCAAACCAACAGAGTCATGAGAGGACAGTTTCAGCTGCTTCTCCGTCACTACGCATGGCTGGTTCTGCTTTTGCAACAGCCTTGTAAGTCCTCACATGACCATCAAAACAAACGCAGGAAGAAGTGCTGACATGCACTCAATAAAGAGATTGTACTTCAATGACCTTTGAACACATGTTTTTTTCTTTTGTTGGTGGAGAGTGAAACATCAGAGTACCGAGGGGACATTTCATTCACCATTCAAGCCAAGAAGAAATGAATCCTCTCCGCTTCTGTTGTTATTCAGTTAAAACAAAGCCAATCCTGCCTGGAAACGCTAAGATGGTGCTAGGTACTATGGCATGAATACATTTAAAAAATGCAGTACAGCCTGTTTTCCTCAATGTCCAAGTAAAATTTAATCAGAATTGTTCCGAACAATCCCAGTAAATAAATGACAAAATTCCTTTAATCAAACTTTTTCTAAAAAAGTAAATTTGCCTCCTAATACTCAGTTTTTTTTTTTTTTATGTGAAAAAATGTGTAATTATTTTTGATGTTATTTGTTTCTTTGCTCCTTGCATTAGCATGGTTCTTACTTCAACTGACAGTCATCAACATCACATTAAAGGTCAATGATACAAGCTTTTCTGCTAAAGAATCTGTTCATACCAATGCACACAGCATCATATGCTAAAGGTTCGGTTTATTATTTATAAAAGTACATGTTTAAAACACAACCAGTGTTTAAACCCTGAGTATCATCAAAGTGCAACAATGTTAACTTTACATTTCGTTTTTTATACTGATGCTGAGGTGAGAGGCAGTTATTGTGATGTTGACAGTTCCACTTGTCATTTTGATGTAATATTTATTAGGTATGATTGAAAGCAGCAGGTTTTGAGATCAGACTGCTGAATCCCCTCTGATGCCTTGAACTTGTGTCCAGGCTGTTCCCATTCTGCAGCCTGAGCCTGACCACCTACATCTGAGTTCAGCATCATCAGTGTTAATGTTTAGTTTATTTAAGATTTTCACACATTAACATTTATGTCTCAGTCTTGGAGAAAACCACAGCACATGACTCACGCAATGACTCAATCAGGTGATCAGCTTCAGTTGGGTCTGAAGAACACAATGTTGAAAGTTAGACAGGATGTTACAGACTCTTCATGTCTGTCTTGGTGACATAAGCCGTTATTAGAATAACTTACCCAGTTCCTGACTCAACTGTTGGGGGTTGTGTTGCATTGTGGGTAATGTGGGCAACAGTTGAAACAAAAACAAAAAGCTGCATCAATTTTAACGCTTTCTTTAAACCATTCATCCTGAGTCTCAGTGTTTAACAGAAGTGCATGGCTAAATTGGTGCAGCACTCTTATGACAAGCCTATGTAACCTATGCTAAGCAGTTACACGAATTATAATCATTGTACGAATGCAAAAATATAACGAACTGCAGGACAAATAGAGAAAAGTTAGCGATGTTCATTACGTAGTATCCAAAACTGTATTAGCTCACATGAGCAACAGAACAACTAAAACTTAATTCGGCAAAAGCTGCAGCAAGTTGCATCTTATTATTGATTTGACTTACTTCATTAGTAAGTCAAAGAATTTCTTAAAGTTTTGGGAAATCAACCCCTGTCCGTTTGCTGATTAGTTTTGAAATGACACACAACTGAACAGATTTCCACAAAACCTGGTGGAAGGATGCAGAATGGGTCAGGGATGAACCCATTTAGTTTTTCAAATTCTTTAACATCGCGTGTCGCATCTTTTTACATGTTTTGTGAATTTCTAAAGAAATTATTCATGGATCTTAATGAAAAACCTATGACTTTAAAATTTGGTGCAGCTTAATTGAATTTAAGATGAGTTTGTGGCCTTGGCGGAGGTTTGTGCTCTAGTGTGTGTCATTCTAGTTTGGAGACTTCCAGCTTAACTCTGTCTAAAAATTAAAAATGCACCCGTTGACATCTCTAAAGCTCATTGATTATTATTTTTTTAATTTTATGAGCCACACAGGGGCCAGCAGGTGGGGTTTGGATGGAGACGCCTCCGCTTTGCACTGCTTATCGTGCCACTAGAGGTCGAACACTGTGTCACAAGAAGGGATCACATAACTTTCACTTCATTCATTAGATACAGTAAAAGCTCCTTGCATTAGGAGATGATCGATCCCTCCTGGTGAAGTATAATCAATGCTTCATCAGCTAAAATGTAGTCTGACCTGACTGAACTGAACTTTGGAGTGAGTGAACACCAGCCCTCTGTAAAGTACAGCTATTATTTGGTTTATAATTCATGATGATGAATCGAGGTACTGGACTGTTCGTCCGAAATCATTTACGTTTGTGCAATTTGATATTTGCCATTTGAAACCATTTTGACATTTTCTGAAACCGTGCATTCATTACAACACATCAAATTATCTTCAGTGTGGATCGGAGCCTTTATGCATTTAGATGTTTCTTTAGAGAGCATGACGTGTGCAGGCTGACTTCATGAGCAGCTCTTAATTATTCAAACCTGTAACATGTTGCTGACTGAAACTGTTGCTTCTGTCATTCGAGAGTCAACAATCTGTGTTTTTTGCTTTGTCCAACTGCCAAATCGAGCTTAAGCAAGTAGCGAACTGTCACGTGATGATGGCTGTGGTTTGGGTGCTTCATGTGTGAAGATGATATTTCTGCACTGCTTCATATTAAAGGACACGTAGGGTTGTTTTTCTTTAAAGTTCCTGAGCCAGGCCAGCCCATCTTCACAGTTTGCCTTCTTAGTTGGAGCAGGTTGTTTATAAAAAGCGTGTGAAAGCAGAATGGAACATCACTGTGAAGCGGAGCGAGCAGCGGCACAGTGTGAAAGGTTACGTGTGGCGTCGTCATATGTCTGTCGTCATCTGCTGCTGCTGCTTCTCATTGTCAAAGTTCAGAGAAGCAAAGTGCAAATCAAGTCTGTCTGAACATGGTGATGGATCGTATTGTAAATAGTTTTCAATAAACGCTGAGACAAAGCTGCTGCTGTGTGTATGTGTGAGGCAGCAGAGAGCTCTGACTCCTGATTTCACACATCATAGGTTGCACTACTCAGCCTGTGAAAACATTCAGTACATCTTCTGTATTTAAGAACAACCAGTACCAAATTTGAAGAAATTCCCTAAAGTCGGACTTGAGAAATCATCTTCAAAGGCCAAAAGCATGTTTTGAGACCTTTGACCACCCAAATCTAATGAGTTAATCTGACTCTGAAAAGTGAACATTTGTGTGAAAGGCTTCTCATGAGGCGTTGATAAAATAACACATTCACAAGGTACAAACGTTCCTATGGTCACTGTGACCTTGACATCCGTCAGTGAATTTCTTAAGTTCATAAGAATGGGACGTAAAGACGACCTGAAAACATGATGCCTCTGGCTGTCGTCAGCACGGAGGCAAAAAAACAATACTACTGGTGGAAAACAAGGACTCTTCAAGATGTTGCTGTTTTGTGTTTACAGGCAGTAGATCATTATCATGTAGGATCCTGTGTGTCTACCAAACTAAACCAGAAAGTAAAAGCCAGTAAATCTTTTAAGGATTAAGGAAAAACACTACTGTTGGTTTATAATTATTGTTTCTTGTAAATAAAATGGATATTGTCTTATATCTGACAGGCTAATGCTCCAACACATTTTAATTGGTTCACTTCTTTGTAGGATCAACCAAACTCTTTTATCTTAATCCTGAAAAAGATTTACTGGCTTTTTGTTTCTGGTTAAACACAAATCAAGTTGTCTTCCTTCAGTCACAGACAAGTGAATTCATTCTTCTTTAATAAGGATCTCTTGAATTTGGTTCATATTTGTGGAGGTGAGGGGAGAGCACCTGCACCACAGAGGGTCAATCAGCACAGGTGAGAGCTGTTAGCTGATGGATCCTCAGGTTTAAAAGGCAGCGGAGGAGCCGCCTCAGGAGAGCACACACACTCAGAAGAGCACACACTCTCAGAAGAGCACACACTCTCAGAAGAGCACACACTCTCAGAAGAGACGAACACGCTGAGCAGAGACACTTATGTGAAGAGGATTTTCTACAGTTGAAATGAAGACATTGAATAGATTATCTGAAATGAGCCATTGGCCTCTTCACGTTGCTGTCTAATAAGACTTCTTTCAGCATTTGACCAAAACATTAGATGTGATTTTGTGGCTTTGTGCTTGGATTGTAATTTAACTTATATTGAGGTCTTAATGGAGCTTATTGATGACTTTTATCAACCTCAGTGATCAGCAGGAAGTACAAAACATTAAGTTGTAGTTTGTAAAAATCAGTTTTTGGCTCCAGTAACAGGTTTTTAGATCAGGGGAGAAATAAGACACTGACGACTCAAGTTCTTACTGAAATCTCAGAGTGTAAATAGTGCAACTTTTATTGATTTGTTTTAAAAGATGTTTCTATGACAGTGCACGTTGCTGACATTGCTATGCTCACTGGCGAGTGATGACAGAGGATGAGGATGCAACAGCGAAAAACAAGCCTGTAACGAACCATCACACAAACCAAAAACACAGCACAACAATAAAGTCTGCAAGTGTAGTGATGCCTTGATGACAACAAATGATAAAACGTGTCGGCTGCACAGTTTCAAGTGTGGAAATGTGAAATTAAAACTGTGATAATTATACAATGTCAGCCCCGTCACGTGAGGCTGCGATGCGGGTTTGTTACTGTTTGATGTTGAAGCTCAGTTATCAAACTGCGGACTGAGAAGTGTTAGGTCCACTGTGACATCAGTATGTTAAGGTCTTCATGTTAATTTCACTTCTACGGGGTCGACATCAGCAGCTCAGCTCTGGGGCTTTTTAAAGGACAATTCCAGTGGGGTTTTTCAACTAGCTGCTGCCAATTTGACAAAACCAGACAGAACTGCTTAGTGCAGAATTGATTCATGTATTTCGATATTGAAATGATCATTGAAGTAATAAAAAAAATTAATCAAAAATACCAAACTGTTACCACTTTCCCTAATAGTGCCGATTTGCATATTTGTTCCGTATTGTATCTGTAGATTAGAAGACGCCCTGTGGATTTTTTTGTAAACAACATCGTGTATAGATTCGTGGTTTCTCACCAGAGCACAAAGTGGATCTTGGAAAACACTGCAGAGCCAGTTTTATTTAGATCTGTCATGGTTGGCTCAAGAGTTGGATTCTTCACCTGTGTTGGCACACTGCTGTTTCTTGGCAGCTTGTGACTGTGTGAGATACTAAATAAAAACCAAGACCCACAAAAAAAACAAAAGAAAATCACTTCTCTCTAACTCTTTTCCTGGTAAAACTCCACAGGGGACCTTTAAATGTCTTTGGGTTTTGGAAAGATGCTGATGAAACAAGATTTCATGGCTCTGGGATATCTAGTATTTTTCATGATCATATATTTATAGAATAAACAAATGAAAATATATCAATTAATCAACAACATAACCGATAACGAAAGTATTCTTGCAGCCCTGGTATTCTAGGACGTGACTACCAACCATGTTTTGCAGTAGCATCACATCCATGAGGCTACACACTGCTCTGCTTGGTCGGGCTTGAAACTTGAGGCTAATCCACAAAGTGAGAACATGTCTGCACTCACCATTGCCTGGTGATGCCTTAAAGACACTGTTCATTACCACCACAGAACAATGATGCAGCTCTGACCTCAGACGTGACATCGCTGTGAGAATTCACCTGTTTCAAGTCTCTGCATGTCAATGTGAATCCAAACGCTGACGAGAACGAAGAAAAACAACTAAAGAAGAACAAACCGAAGTTAACGGACTTAACTGTGACTAAAACACCAGTTTCATTCTTGAACCCCAGCCCTGACGCTCACGTCATTATGGCTGCTGTGGAAATAACATCATCTTTACATCTTTCCACCAAACCAGATTTAATTAGGCGTCTGGAGACAAAAACACCATTTAGACTGAAAAAGGCACAGAAATGTGTTGTTTCTTTTTTACAATGACTTAAATCAAATCCTAAAACATTAAACCCACAAGCTTCACCAACAGAACAATGCAACCCACAGCTGTAGAGTTTAACTAATCTAATGCCTCTTTACCCGACACCCGATCCCCGCTGCATCAATAGTATTTCAAATCTGAAAGAAAAGTACTTAGAGAAGTACTTAATCCACCTGGTGGAAGTGCTCATAACTCTTATATCTCAATCTGATATTTTATCCCTTTAAATCATTTGAAAGAAAAAGAAAAAAAAATAGGTTCTTGGCCACTTTCATCATCTGGGTCCCCAGAAAAAAGTGATGAGAGAGCGGCCGCACTGTAAACGATTAACCACTGCTGAAGTGAGGGAGCTCCTGTTCACGTGAGGGAGAAAATCCTGAGAACAACGACGCACTCGGTTCATTTCCCTTCTCCTCGTGTGGAAATCAATGGAATCATTCATCTACACTTTTATCTCCTCTCATAGCGTCCATATCTTTGTATATGCATACTCTTTTCATCTAGTAAGAAAATATTTGTGAAAGGTTATATGGAAATATACAATTATTAATACAATAGAATACAGAGCTGTTGTGTTAAAGGTGATTAAAAAAACAGGTTGATTGTATCTCCCTTTACAATGCACGCGATCTCCTTGGTTTAAAGGCAAAAGAGGTAAAGTGTATAAGAAGAAGGCAGCCTGTTGCGTCGTCCAAAAGGCTGGGGCTCGAGGATTATGCGATTGCTTTTGCTTCTGGTAAGAAAGCCTCCCAATACTTAATCAGCTGGAGAAAGAAACAAAAAAAAAAACAGTCAACATTGTTTGGTTCATTTATAATCGACAGGTAAGAGATGGTAAATATTTAGAACAGACACAGTTAAAACATTTACAAACAAGTCAAAGTCAGATATAAAGCAAAAATTACCAAACATCCACTAGATCCATTTTCTCAAACATGAGTATTTGTTTGTTTTCTAATTTAATTTTAACACCTTGGTGGAGGTATATGCTCTGGGTGCCATTCTAGTTGAATCCTGTCACTGACCATTACGTGCATCCCCCCTCTGGAGAAGTTCTCACCTGTTGTTGAGACTGAAGCATGGATTCCAAGTACTTGATTATCTGTTGTTTGAAATTTTTGGCCTTTTCTTTCTGTAAGAGAAAATGTTCAAATTTTAAAGTACTGACAAACCTGTTCAGCTGTTCAGCGTCATCCAGACAACAGAAAGAGTATAAATATTGGTACCTCAAAGCGAACAACCTCCTTTCTCACAGTAGCAGAGACTCTGTCGAAGTCTCTCTCATACTGCGTCACTTTGGCCTCCCACTGTCGACAAGAAGAGTTATTAAGTCCCCACGTGAGGAAGCAACTTTGTGCCAAAGTATCAACAAATGAATCACTTGACAAAAAAAGTCAAAGTTTGTAAAGAAAAAAAAAAAAAAAGAATCACATTGTTTCACTGTTATAAACACTGTTATCATCGGCTTTTATCAGAGCAGACCGAATGTATAATATTTCATTCCCACTTTTGTCAGACACAGAACACAACTCTGAATCCAAGTGAACCTTTGTGCCAAATATGAAGACACTCTCTTAGATATAGTGTTCATGTGAATGGGACACAAACAATCCAAAACATCATCCCTGTCAAAGTGACAGAGAACTTACACCACTGGTATAAGTGAAGCCCTTCTAAGAGGCCTCTTCATTATTTATACAGACTGCATCAAACCCAGCACTTTAAGGTTTCCTGGCCTCATCCCACTTATTTTCACTGTCGTACCTCAGCGATCTCCTCTTTGGCCAGCTGCAGTTTGTCGGGTTTGTTGGCCCACAGCAGTTTGGCCTCGGTCTCCCTCTTCTTCTGCAGCATGGCCTGACCATCCTGCCAACGCTGCCACGCCTTCATCCGGTGATCAAACGACCCCTGCAGGTCACAGACACTCACAGGATCACTTCATGTTTACATTAGCTCTATTTACTTTAGCTCTGCAGCTGATTCGGACTGCTTTTCAGGGCAACTTTCAAAATAAATGTCAAACCTTTATTTGCTGTCAAAAATAATGTTTAACTAATGTTTGGGATTTCAAATTTATTCTGAGGGAAGTGATGAGTGAAAAGGCAGCAACATGTAAATACACCCTCATACATCACTTGTAAAGTATTTAAAGTGGATCTATTAACTTTCCCATGCTTGTCTGCTTTTATGATTCACAAGGGGCATTTCATCTAAAAATAAAATTGTCCTCTCCAGGATTCAACACAACTACTTACACTAAATTAAAATGGCAGATTTGACCTCACTGCAGTGTCAGATTGTAGTTTATGTACTACTACTATTCCAAAACTTGTATCTTTGTTAACTTAGTATCAAAAAATACTGAAAGTTTGAGTCCAACTGAATTATGTGTGGATTCATAATAGTTAATTAATAGTTTATGGTTATTTGAAATAAAGTTTTTGGCTGAACTAAAAAGTATCAAGTCTCAATTACAATGGTTTGTGATCTTTACAAAAATTGCCATTTTTTCAATATGACATTGATATACAGTTATTTATTTAACACCCTAATATCGATATCAGCATTGTCCCACACATTACTGTATCACTGTGGATGTCTTTATTTGAGTATATGAGGAATGAATACTTCGCTGTGTAAAATAAGCCTCGATTAGTTCCATATTAAATTGTTCTCAGTACCCTCACGGCTCCGAGCAGACGGATGAAGTCAGCGATGAGCTCGGCGAAGCTGAAGGTGTCGTTTGCGGCCTGATCCTGGTGCAACTGCTCCATTTTATCCTCCACCTCTGCCAGCTGGGACAGAGCTCGGGACAGAGCCGTGTTGTCCTCTGCGCTGCCCAGCATGGCTGTACTCTTGGCAAAGCTCGCTGTGTTCAAGGACAGCTCTAGATGGGAAGAGCAAGCCAAATGTTAAACATATTCCACCAGTTACCACGTGGCAGAGAAAACTTGTTTAAAAAAAACATTTAGCAATGAATAGGACACCAGTATTTACATGTAATTCTTATAATATACTTTAAAAAGCAGGAGGCACAGCACATGGGATGTTTAAAAGGGTTTGAGGGAGACAAAGACATGTCACAAGGATTAAAGCCACAGCTTTAAGGATTTGAACATATTCCTACAAGAGGTCAAAGGCTCCAATTCCTGTTTAATATTTTCTCATCTCTATGCAAACAAAAGTTTGTGCCATCAAAATCATTTTAAGGTTGCACTTATGAGCAGATAACCAGGACTGGGTGTTATGTGATGAAGTATCTGTCACCAGATGGAGAGAACTGACCTTTCCTGTGGACGACCAGGGATTCGACCAGAGCGTGGAGCTTCCTGAACTGCTGGTCTGCAGACTCCACCTCCTGCAGCTTCTCCTCAAACCACTGGAGCAATACAAACTGTTAGTACAACTCAGCATCAAGGCCCCTATGTGTTTAAAATCCCACTGTTAACACATTTAAAAACAGCCTTCATGAATACTGTTAGTGAAGAGCCCCTTGACAGTACAGCAACAAATACTGAGAGCAAATCACAGAACTCACAGTGGATCAATGACCAGATTAAATGTGTTTACAGCTCAACTCACCACATCTGACTCGTTCATCTTGATGGTCATTTTACTGACAGCATCTGTTGCTTTGTTTATCATTTTCAGGAAGCCGGCGCCGCTCAGAGCCTGGGTGCCCACTGCTCTGGGTAACTGAGGACAAACACACATGTACACACACCAGCTGTAATTACACTTAGAATCAATAATAGGTAAATGGCGGAGAGATAAAACATCCCTCCTCCAAAAATATCATCATGAATTAGTTTTGTGTTTTAGTTGTGTGCGTGGAAGTGTTACAATCTTAAAGATCACAGTATTTCAATGTGTTTTGGGCAAAAAAAAAAATCAAATTCAGCTTCATCTTACCTCCTCTCTCTCCAGGAACTCTCTGACATCTGGATCTTGGAGAAGCGATGGGTGATTAACCACCCTCTGGAGGTACCTGTTCAATGGTCAAATTGCAGAAAGAAAATTCACTTTCTTGCTTTTAGGGGCAGAGCAGCTTTGAGGTTTGTGGGACAGGACTTGTTTTTTTTCTTACCGCTCCAAAGCACCTCTTCTTCTCTCAACAAAGTCCGCAGATGAGGAATCTTCCTTTCCTACTTTCACCTTTGTCATACCTGTGCAAGACAACAGCCATTGTCACTGCTGAAGGAGATCCAATTCACACTTACACTATATGAGAAAATATTAGGAATCATTCAGTCATTCTACCCAGGATGCTCTTCTCTGGTGGCGGAGGCACAATGCAGCCATTTGGTCCATGTTTTTCAGAAAGCTTCTCATAGAGGCCGAGGAAGTCGCTGAAGCGTCGCCTCACTGTAAAGGTTTTGTTGCGGAACATGGGCAGTGTGGTCTGAAAGAGACAGTTTCATTTGAATGCATGTCTGGAAAGTCCCTGATTCTCGAGGACGTAACGCAATGGAGAAGCCCATGTCCCACTGATTTAAGTATTGCAATATTATTTGTATTCACAGTACTACAAGCTCGGTGTCTGTGGTATCATACCCTGAAAAAAAACCGCTGTGTTGCATTGCTGCTAATACAAACTGAACATTTCCTGCGGCTGCAGCTTCACGTTAAAAGCCCCTGAATGGCAAAACACGAGCGAGGTAACCAACTCGTTTCAACCTGCTGCTTGGAGACTCATTCCCATGTGCAGCATACAATCAGATCCTGTTTATCACAGAGTGATGGCAGCAGGCCAGCTATTAGCTGCCTGCCCCTAGAATACTGTGAATTGAAGTCTTTGAGATTGTTACTGTAACTCTGGTGACTCAAGCTCTAAATTCTCTCCAGAACATTTCATGGGCGTTTCTTTTACGATACACTGACCAGTTACCACACATATTATGAGTAACTGTACTGACTTCCTCTGATTCAAGATCATCAACTTATGAAATAGTTTTACCTGTGTGGATAATTTGTAGGCCATGTAAGCATTCATCCCATCACCTGAAACCAAATAGACAACATTTAATGAGTTGGTGCAGAAAAATGGACACAAATTGATATAAATAATGACAGAATATTACTCAATGCAAGCTACATGTGGGTTTAATCATTGGTCTTGTTAAAGGAGCTTATCCTTGAGTTATTGAGAAAATCCATTTATTTGCTTAGTCGTTAGAAAAGTCCTTTCTCATAATTTTGAAGAAATACTTCGAAGGACCTCAGAATAACCTTTGCTTGCTTGAGGTTTACAGAGCACAAACCAATGTGCATGTTAATTGCAATACATTTAATAAACGGAATATTATTTATCAAAAATGGAATAAAAAGAATAAACCTCACCTATTTTTTCAGGGTCTTTGACAGAGACACAGATGTCAAATTTGTCTTCCTGCTCCTCTTCTTCCTCTTCATCCATCTGAAACAAATATTGAACAGAAGGTAAAAATGTTAGATTTTTGGGTTATTTGTCATAGTGGTCAAAAACAGCCTTCAAACTTACATTTCCAATGACAGATCAACAATCTGATACATCAGGGATCTTTAGAATTAATGATGTACAGAAATTGAAAGTTATTGAGCTCCAACAGTTTTCAGTAATCATTATGTTGTGGTCACAGTGGAAGTTTCACTCTGGCATTAGATATCTAGTATGTACCTCCTCGAGGGCAGCAGACTGTGACTTGGCAAGGCTGGCAGCAGCTGACAGAGAGGGGGCGGGAGCAGACGGTTTGGCTGTCACCTCCTTCTTCCTTTCACTGCGTGGGCTGTCAAGAGAAAGTTCCACTGTGGCTTCTGTTAGAGAGGAAAGGAGAGTAAAGAAGCCAGATGTGGGTCATCTGAATGTCTGAATGGAAACATGTACAGATGGGCCTTATTTTACCACCCTGGCCCCTTTATAAGTCAGCCAGCATGTATTCACATTTACACCCTGCATTATAACTCAATGCCGCTGTAGGAAGCATGTGGTTACACATTTTAATTTTTAAACTTATTCCACATTGCAGTTTTGATTTGTGAAAGTGCAACTTTACAATACAGGAAATGTCCCTCATTTCCAAACAGGATCTCTGGATCTGAGTCAGCAGAGCTGATGGGTCCCTGGTTACTTCTGATACCACAGCCGCTCTAGGAATAGTCATGGTTGTTGCAAAAAAACTCCATTTAGGTATTGTGAAGGACACTGGACACATTTCAAAGACAACCAAGCAAAATGGAAACTTTCAATGCAGCAGAAATGTTTTTGAAATCTTCACTTAAGAGTTGTGCCTCAGCACAATCCTGTCTCTGAGCTCTAATATACAGAACTCAGCTGTTAGACCTTATATAGAGAGACTTTCCAAATCATTTCAGATCAATGCAGTCTACAAGGTGTACAATCATTTCTGATGATCAAGAGACATTGGAGGAGGCACCTAAGCTCATGTTAAAGTTTCATAACAAAAGGTTTGAATATTAAATGTAAATGAGTCCTAACATGCATGTAGACTGATGAGGTCAAAATATATGTTTCTGTATTGTAATTACACCGACTAATGATGCCATTATCAAGGCAAAACAGTCGAAGAATCAGCAAAACAGTTTCTGTCCTCTACTATTTTTTACTTTCATATTTCCTGTTGGATTGTGCATTGTTGAGCTTTTTATGTGAATGCCTCTCTTCCTGAACTAAATTGAAAGCAGACCGAATCCAACATTTTTATCCAAGACCGGTGAAGATATCCATTATGCACACATTGCAACAAGATCACATCAATATCTATGAATTATTAATATGAAAATGTTAACAGCGCCCTGTATCACAATGTTGAAAGAATTAAAACAATAAGACCTGGCCTTGGACCCGCCCTCTGATCCAGATCTGAAACAAAATTTGATGCATTCCTCCTTTGGTTTCACCCCACCCCTCCACAAAATTGTATTACAATTGGCTCAGTAGTATTTGAATAATCCTGATAACAAAAAGACAAACCAACGCAGAGAAAAACAGAACCTCCCTGGTGACAGTAACCATTCAAATGTATCACTTATGCAGGACACCCACAAAGGGACACAAAACAAAGACAGACTCACCATGTCTGCAAAGGTGAACACAATATTCCTAATGTCACAAAAGCCAATCCAAGCTGATATTGGGCATGAAGAGGGGTCCTCCATGTCTTTGGACAGTGTGAAAAGGCCAGATTACCCCCAGAAAAGCCACACAGACAGAAAGGCTGCGGCCAAACTGGGATACGAACCAAGAACTTTCTTTCTGAGGAAACACTAACGACCTGTCAACACTAATGCAAAACAAACTTTGCAGCAACATTAGCAGCAATCCCTGGCGTCTGCCTCACCCAATAGTGCTTCAACCACAGCGTTCTTCTCTGGCATTTGACTTATCAACGATGACGTCTTTACAGTCTTTGTTTGAGCGTTTGCAGTCATTTTTGTCTTCTTGTCTGAATTGAGATATTTTTCAAACAAAGGAGGGGAAACTATCCATTCAAAAATATCTGCAGTAGTGTAGAGAAGGCATGGAGTCTGATAATAGTTTGGTAATAGTTTTTTCACAGCTGACATGTTGACTTAGCAGAGTAGGTGAAGCCAAGTTGTTCCTGATTACAACTCTGAGTCCCAGTATTCAATTCCATCATTACCACCTGAGCTTTTCCTACTTTCAGTGTCATCTGTGAAAAACATTCTGTGTAACCAAAGAATAAAAACAATAGACCCACCACCGAACATGTCCGACTCCTCTTCAGAGTGGACTCCGTTGGTCTTGGAGTTGACGGTGCTAGTGTTGCTGACACTGGGTGCAGTGGTGATGGCTTCTTCGGTGAAGATATCCCCAGGCTCCACAGGGTTGATCTCTTGCAGAGGCCCAGTTATGTTGATGCCACCATCGGCAGCAGCAGCTTTGGTTGTGACAGTTTTCGCCTTCTGCTCTTTATTGATGGTTTTCTTTGACGTGGCACCCAGCGGCTCACCAAAAAGATCCTCGTCGTGTTCACCGAAGAGGCTCTTCTGTGGCTGCTTGGCAGATGTAGTCAGCAGCGGGTCTGCAAACAGGTCGCTTCCCTCATCCTCATTGAACAAGTCAATTGTTGCCATGCTGGGTTTTTTGGCCTCATCAGGAGGTGGAGTATCAATGAGTAGATCAACCAGAGGGTCAACGAATTTGTCAATGCCAGGTGGCTGTTGTGTGTTGCTGTCTGATTCACCACCTGAATTACCAATGATGTCAATAACTGCAGCAGTGGAAGTTTCTTCTACTTCCTGTTTCCCGTCGCCAGGTGGATCTGTCTCACAGCCTGTCACTTCACTTTTATCCGTTACTGTGTCAGCAGTAACATCTACTATCACCACTTCCTCTCGCAGCGCCTCAGTTTCACTTCCCAGTAGGTCAACAAAATCATCCGAGGGTTCATCTAAAGAGAATACAGCCATGTCTTTAGCTGCAGCGGCAACATTGTCAGCAGCCTCTTCAGTTACGTTGTTTGTTAGGTCAACAAAATCATCCGAGGGTTCACTGACAACTTCACCTGCTGATTTGATTTCTGTTTGGCTGCTGACAGGCTCGAATAATGGATCATTCATGATGTCTGTGGGAGGCGTCATTAAAACATCACTAGGTTGATTGGCAGGAGGCAGTGTGGTGTCCATGTCGACCAGAGGAGGGTCGCTCTGGAGATAAGGGGGAAAAAGATTTATATTTATAGTATATCAAATGTATATAAATAGTACACAAATGTCCTGATATTACACTTCCATGTATTATGACTTTTCTGATTAAACCTGAATAAGGTCATACTTAGAATAAGCAATTATCGACTTAAGACTGTGGAATATTCTGACCTTAGTTGCATTAAGCAGACATGAATACGTCTTAATCACACTATAATGTCTTGTTGGAGTTTCCACAGCAGTTACCAACATTTTGACGTCATAATCAAGCTGCGCTCTATAAACAAGAATATGAATGGAATATCTATTAGCAACTTGTGCAAACATCCAAATTGAAACAATTATTCAAAATAAGGTCTATCATCAGAATATTGCTGTCCATGTAAACATAATCAGTGTCTTTTTTGTCCAACAAACCAGAATATATTTTTCAATCAAGTCAAATCACACTGAGAGGCAGAAAAACATCAAATTTGCGTGACTGGAACAACTGAATTTGTGGAATTATGACTGGCAAATGATAAATATGATTAATTGATAATCAAAATACCGTAAGTCAGTGATTCAGCATTCAACAATCCTATTTTTGGCTTGTATTCTCAAAAAGTCACAAGGATCAGATTTCTAGTTCAGACATTTCATCTTACCAGAAAGGTCAACTACATTAAACTTTGCCAAACACTTTCTGCATCATAATCAAAGTCTCTTGCATCCAGTTGTGTGGTCTTTAAACCCCAAACACATGTATTTTCACTATAATATTACAAAAAACACAACTTCCACTAACTCCTTATGATGATAAGGGGCTTTGACGGTTTGAAGTTTTAAGGGATCTGAAGATTCTAACAAGTTCTGTAAGTACTTTGAGCAATGGCGGATATGTTGTGAATGGGGCTGCCTATTTCATGTTACTCTAGATTTAGATTTTTTTACTTGTTTAACTCAATTCTGAGATGAGCTCAGATAAGAAAACCACATACATGACTTCAGCTAGAGGCTCTGTTACATGTAACATCCAGAAATGCTGACCAATGTTTTCCAGGCAGGAATGAGTCCAGCTCGCAAAAAGTCAAAGACAGCAACTTTGCAGTCTTTCCTCTGAACCTTGACTGTGGGAAAACATCCGGGCTCTGACCATGTGACCACAGCTGACTCACATGACATGAGGCAGCCTGAGCCAACGTTTAACCCTCATTCAAAAAAGGTATCTGCTTTTTCAACTCTGTGTTTAACATGAAGTCACAGTAACACCGCCATGATAATGTCAGCTCTGACCATCGAACCTCACAGGTCGCTGAGATTAAACTCCTGTTTACTTCGCCATCTATATGCATGGCCTGCACACACACACGCTGAGGACTTTGATTTGGGGACCAGATTTTGGTTTTAGAAATCTGCACAGACAACATCGACTAATCATTCACCCAACGGGTACCGCAATTAAAGTACAAATTATTTTATTATAGACTGATCTATATAATGGCAAATACACCCATCATTACATTACAGAGGCGACATCCGCAAAAAAACAAAAAATTATCAAAGCATTAATACATTTGCATTATTACCAATCCTCACATTTGAAATCTGTGAACAATCAATGTTTTTACATTTCCACCTATTAGACAAAGTAATGTTGTATTTAAGACTGTGATTTTTTTTTAAAATATTTAATCATTTAATCTATGAATGGTCAGATCTTCAAAAGGGACTATGATATAAAATCTGATCACATTTACTTTTGCTTGAATAATGTCTAGGTCTGCAACCACTGACTGATATTTAGTGTATAAATAGTGTACAAATGTAAAATAACTTCTCAAACTCAAACACCTGATTTGTTTTTTTCTAACCACAATAACTAATAAGCTCAGTTTTATATGCTCATTTACTTGATACAACAACAGTAAAAGCAAATATTGGAGTTCACAGTCTAATTATTTGGTGATAAAATTAAATCCCAGCTTTGTCACGAACTAAAAGATTGATCGACTTATCATTGCAGCTCTAAGAATGTAAATATCGGTAAAATATCAGTGGACTAGTTGTCTGTCGATCATCTAATCAATGAATCGAGCATCATTCCATCTCTAGCTCGTCATGTGGTTTCCTGATTGACTTGATCACATCAACCAGTTTCTTCACAGAAAAACGGTGGCTCAGTTTCAAACCTCCATGTTGCTGTGGTTCTTTAAGTTGCGGTAAAAACAATAGGTGTCATTAGGGCTGCACATGTCCACATTAACATTCGCAGTGATCTCTTTGCGGTAAAAGCAGCCAAACTAAAGGGAAACTTGCTCAAAGTGTCATTAGCATTCTCGGTTAGCTAACTAAGTACCATTAGCAGTAAACGTCACTTGGTCTAAAACGAGAGGCCGAGGATCGAACACCCAGACATACCGGGCTGAGGAAGAGATCCTCCCCGTCCTCTTCATCACTGTCTCGGCCTCCGACGTCTTCGGAGTCCAGCACATCTTGGTCCTCGGAGTCGGGGAACGGAGGAGGACTGCGCTCTGAGCTGGTCGCCATCTTCTATCTTTCTTTTTTTTTCCACAAACACAAGGGGAGGTAACGTCAGCGGCTCACACGGGCTGTAGCACGGAGGCTAACAGGCTGTTGCTGCTGCTGCTACACACCCGGGCTGGAGCTTCACCTCCACACACTGACAACAGGAGCAGGGTACAGGAAAGCGTAGGCTCGGGACAGGGCAAGGAGAATCCACCGTTGGCTTCTTACTTCCTGGTCCTCCTCCTCTTCCTCCTTCTTCCTCCTTCTCCTCGTCAGGTTAGCTTCGATCGGTGTTAGCTAGAGGAGCAGCAGCAGTCATGGGACAGATGAGGTGTGGACCGGGACAGGGGTTCAGCTCAAGTTAGCTCATGTGCACACACAGAGCTCCGTGCCCATATTAGACACATCCGACCTAGAAGGAGGGGATGTCTGGTCACAGGCCGCCCGAAGATGTGGAGGCTCGACGGCCGCTGCTGCTCCGCGGAGGTAGTCACCTGGAGCCGGACGAGCAGGACTCAGACGAAGGTAGAAAAGTGTGCCACTCCATCACTTCCGCATTCACGTCGGATCACACCAGCGCATCAGTACTCTGAGTACAAGCCCTGATGGCATGGGTTTATTTACAACACTGAAGTAACTGCAGCAAATAAGTACATATTTACAAGCACTGCTCTTTCCTTTATTATTTACTTCAGTATTGCACCTGAACATATGTTACCTTTACTGGAGTTTTTTTTTCTCCCATTTCTCATTATTTAGTTGATCAATAGGAAATTAATCTGCAGTCATTTTAATTCCAAAAATGTCCCAATATAATGATGACTAAGATAGATGTTTATAAAGCCCCTTCTAAGATGGCCGTTCCTAAGTGCTTTACAAATAAGGACAAATGAAGAATCTAAATTTGAGACAGCAAAAGAAATAATACAACATCATTTAAAAACAAGATATAACTGTACACTATAACGTGGAGTAACAGTAGAGCTCAATCCTCTGCCAAGGTCCAACAGGCGCTTTACGAAACCACATTTGAATTCACTAGATCTGCACCAACATGCACACACTCATAAATGTCAGCCCCCTGAACATGACAGATTTTTTTGTTTCATATATATTCATTAATTATCCAATTATTAATTATCCAAATTATTGAAAATGTTGAAAAAGCGGTGACTTGCAATCCCTGCATCTGCTGCCCCCTGATCCAGGGCTGCAACAAAATGTGTGGATTCTTCCCGGACGCGTACCTCACCCCTCCACCAAGTTGCATAGAAATGTGTTGGGTTGTTTTGTAAGCTAGTGACTGACTGAGTGACTGACTGACAAATGCAGATAGAAACATATTTATTACCTCCTTGGCGGAGGTAATAAACTGCACAGATAAAAGCAAGGCTTTCTGGAAAAGGTTCATATGGATCATAAGGTCAGGAGCCGGGCTATGCAGAGCCTTAAAGGTAATGATATCTTAAAATCAATCCTAAAACAAACAAGGAACCAACGTTACATGGCTAAACAGGATTAATGTGATTGAGCCTCTTAGTTCCAGTTAAAAGTAGGAAGAGAAAACCATACTTACCAGTCGTCCTTATCAGCAACCATTTACCTTTTATCCATAGCTTCATATGCAGCACTATAGTAAAACTCCAATGCAACTGTTGTGTTTGTATCTCTTGTACCTCAAGCTTCTGTTTCTCCAGACATGTGCGTGTGTTTTGTTGTATCACAGGTGAAATCATCTTTGACAGGAGCACGTCAGACATGCAACATGAGCCCGGGGGAAGTGCAGAGAGAAAATTAACATATGAGGAAGCAATGGAGGAAGCAGGTAAACCAACAATGGTTTCCTCTGTTACTGTTTTTTATCATGCTCTTGACCATGGGATGTAATATAAAAGTGAAGTGAAGCCAATGTGAAAAGTCAACATACGGTGTTGTTGGATCTCACTGTAAACTACCTGTAAAATTCAGCTGAGACATTTATAAAGATTTATAGAAAAAGAAAGATTTTGCTTCCATAATGAGCATTGAACATACATGAACTTATAAAATAATTTGGGTAGATCGGCTCATATCAGCCGATTCATAAATCTACTGAGCCTTTCACAGACGTATTGTTATCAGCATTTATGTTATGTGACATAAAAACGTTCATTTTAATCCTTTTACTAAATAAACGCTGCAGACAAGATATGCATCTATGTTTACATTTTACATAAAACAAATATTATTAATTCAAGTCTGTATATTGTATTGTGTGTATTGGTTGTGTGTTATTGTTATCTATGCCAACAAGGCTACGTTTGTCCGTTTGTAAGCAAGATTACACAGAAACTACTGGACATATTTCCATGAAAACTCAGGGGGCCAAACCCAGCATCTTATTTTTCACTTTCTTTAACATTGTGAGATAGGGTGTTTTCAACATCTCTGTTGATTTCTCAGAGAATAATTCATGGATCCTGATGAAATTTGGTGCAGCTTGATTTGGAAGTATGTGCTCTGTAGAGTGCCACCCTAGTTTTTATTTCTAGTTTATTTATACTTAGTTATGCTTAAATATTAAAATATCGAGTCTTATCTACATTTCTCTGTCATCGTGGTTTGATGTGTAATTGTTTGTTTTGTCTTTGTTTTCCACAAAGACTTCTCTCCATTAAATTAACTCCTTTGCTTTTGCCTCTCAGGTTTCGGTTTGTTTCACTGGCTGCTGTTGGTGGTTTGTGGTTGGGCCAACGCCAGCGACGCTGTGGAGATTCTCTGCGTATCTTTCCTCCTGCCAACGGCGCGCTGCGATCTGCTGCTGACCTCCTCAGACATGGGCCTGCTCACTGCCAGCATTTTCCTGGGTGAATCACCGTCACATTACATAGACCTGAGCTGGTTCACCTGTGGCTGCAGTAACTGAAAACTCAGTACAACAGAGGACTGTGTCACCTTTCTCATATTTCCTTTGAATATGTAAAATAGAGTTGTCTCAACGGCATTAAAATGTAAATGAAAATGTCAGTGGGACACAAAAAGATTAAAAACTAGTTTTCAAAATCTGAACTTTAACTTTAGATCTTCTCGAAAAAATGAATTCAAGCATGTAAGTCAGTAAAGTTTAAAAAATCAGTATCATGTAATACTTGTGGGAAATTCAAAAAACATATAAAAGAGTTATAATCATCTTATGACATTTGTGACCTAAAAAATAAAACAGAAACTGTCCGACACAACTAAAGCAAAATATGAAGAGATTGAAACAACCATAGCAACTCAAACTAAACTGAACAGAAACAGTATTATAAAATAAAAAGAGATAAATATAATATTGTGCCCCCAAAAAGCATTAGAAAAAGAAGTAGAATTTGAATCAATAATAATAATTCTTGACATTTAATGAAAATATTTGGTAAAGCACAGAACGTTATTTTAAAGAAAAAATATTATATGACCGTCTTATCATGCTAATATTGAATCCCCTTTTCCAGGAATGATGGTGGGTGGCTACATGTGGGGTTACTTGGCTGACCAGAGGGGGCGTCGCAGAGTCTTGGTTGTGTCCCTGACAGTTAATGGGGTGTTTGGAGGTCTGGCATGCGTCGCCCCGTGGTTCTGGCTCCTGCTGCTGCTGCGGGTCATCAGTGGCATCGGGTAAGCGTATTGATTAATCTAAAAGTTATTTTCTCAATCCAGCATCTTTTACTGCATATTTACCACAAATTTACTTCATTTAGTTTAACAAGTTTGTACTGTGAACACGCGTGAAAGAGATAAGCAGGCAGCAATTCCTCACAATTAAGAAAGTGAAAGTGAAGTTTTTTTTATGGCTCAAAGGTGATTGGGATGATTGATTGATTATAAAAATAGATGCTGATCAGTAAACAGTAGATGAATGGATTTACTGAAGTAAGAATGCACACCACAAGTCAAACAAATAACCTAGAATGACACTCAGTACAGCACATACCTCTGTCATGGCCCAACAGTCCCCTTAAATTCAATTAAGCTGCACTAAATGACACAAACTCATATCAGTTCACTAAATGTGCCTGGTTTTCTTCATCAAGATCAATGAATTATTCCCTATACAAACTAAAATGCCTTGAAACATTATATCTTGCAATGTTAAAGAAAGGGGAAAAAGAACCTGGATCTGCACAGAAATGTGCTGCGTTCTTTCCTGACCTATACCACATCCTTCCACCAAGTTTCATCATTCTGTTTCATCATTCAGTGAAAACATAACCTCCTTAGTGAAGGACATAAGCAGCGTTAGTGCCAGCATTAGACCAACCGGTGTCATTTTTTTTGAAATGTGCCTCCAAAATGAATCTGTTGTGGCAAAACTAGCTGGATTTCAAAGAATAAAATTTAAGGGTAAATGTTTTGTTCTTCTCTTCTGTAGGGTGGGCGGGTCAATCCCTGTTATCTTCTCGTACTTCTCAGAGTTTATGCCCCGACTGCGGAGGGGTGCAATGATCAGCTGTCTGGCCACTTTCTGGATGGCAGGGAACATCCTGGCTGCAGGTGGGAAGAACAGTGATAGTGTTTCTGTGTCACAGAATACGTCATTTAATAGAAGTCCCATGCAACAAGTACTGCCACCAATTATACTGTGAAAAACCTCAGTCACATGTTTGGTGTGCATGTTATATCTTTTTATGTTGTTGAGCCAAACAGGACACCTAACAATAACTAAACAGAATATCTGTCATGAAGCATTAACACATCACCAGATCATGTTCCAAAGTATTAGTTTCTTATTTTGATTAACTAATACATTGATGTAGTTCGAATGAGTCCTAATGTAGCACCTCATTATTTTAAACAAGATATCAAATAAATCACTGGCTTGCTAGGGGGTGTGTATGTTCTAGGATTTCCTCATACTAATTATACTAATAATTATTCATCTGCACAATATTAGAAAAGAGATTAAGGCTATAATCAATATTGGTTTAACTCTGAATCCAGGACTTTTTGCTCTTGTTATGATACTGGAAAATGTTTTTTTCTTTCTTTGATAGTGAAGGTAGAGATAAAAACAGTGAACACGAGGATAGTGACCAACCCCAACATCATCCATCTTTGCTCATGTAGTAAAACACTTTATTTCTATTAATTTTCTGT